CGAGTTTTTGTCCTGGAGGAGGCGAGACGCAGCGTTTGAAGTCGATAAAAAGAAAAGTAATTTGATGCGATCCCCAAAGAAGTGGATCGGTGATTACGGCAATGATTAAAACCTGCAGCTCGTGGCCTCTGCTCCGATCGCTGAGCGGAAAAACTCACCGAAGAAAACTGTTTCCAACCAAAGCTCTTCACAAAAACTCAGTTCATGTGGTATTTGTGTCCATTTAGGCCTCGGAATATGAAATACTTAAACCATGCTTAACCATAGATCAGAGAGAGGCCAGAGAGAGAGGCCAGAGAGAGAGACCGGAGAGAGAGACAAGAGAGAGAGAGCAGAGAGAGAGACCAGCGAGGGACCAGAGAGAGAGACAAGAGAGAGACCAGAGAGAGAGACAGAGAGAGACCAGAGAAAGAGACCGGAGAGAGACCGGAAAGAGAGACCAGAGAGAGACCAGGGAAAGACCGGAGAGAGACCAGCAAGGGACCGGAGAGAGAGACAAGAGAGAGACCAGAGAGAGAGACAGAGAGAGACCGGAGAGAGACCAGAGAGAGACAGAGAGAGACCAGAGAAAGAGACCGGAGAGAGACCGGAAAGAGAGACCAGAGAGAGACCAGGGAAAGACCGGAGAGAGACCAGCAAGGGACCGGAGAGAGAGACAAGAGAAAGACCAGAGAGAGAGACCGGAGAGAGACCGGAAAGAGAGACCAGAGAGAGAGACCAGAGAAAGACCAGAGAGAGAGACCGGAGAGAGACCGGAAAGAGAGACCAGAGAGAGAGACAAGAGAAAGACCAGAGAGAGACCAGAGAGAGACCAGAGAGAGACCAGAGAGAGACCAGAGAAAGATCATAGAGAGATCAGAAAGAGCTACAGTATACATTAGTTTGAAAAGTGAGGTACCCAGGCTTTAAAACATACATTTATCTCACAGATTTGCAGCTTATGCAAAGCACAGACACGACATTGACTTTTACACACGTCGTTCAAGAAAGCCCTTTGTGCCAGATCAAGGTCTCCCCCCTCTCCCTAACAACAACCCCCCCCCCCCCCCCCCCCCCCCCCCCCGCTCTCCTCCTCCATTGTTTTTCTCCGCCGCCTTCCACCGCGGACTCGGGCTTTTGACGAACGCTTTCAGAAGCTTGACTTGACCTTGAACCCTTTGCATTCACACGGCGAGCGGAGTGTCCAGCCGCCGCAGCTGAGGTGGGAGTTCTGCCAAAGGGCGCCCACAAAGCGCTCTCCTCCAGTTCACAAAGACGCACCGCGGCCTTTTGTGGCGAGCGAATCAAAGGTCTTCAGCCGCGAGCGCTTTGAAAGGCCGCGTGGAATGCTGCTGAATATTGCTGTTGATTTGAATGTGTCAAAAGGTTAAACAGTTTCAGACCAAATGTATAAATGTGTAGATTCAGTGTCATTTGGATTCGGTGGAAAAAGTGGAAGCCGACCTTGAAAAGTCGTCACGAAGAAAGTAAGAGTTCTGACTTTTTAGTATCCTGGCCTTCGCCGCCCTTACATGTACATCTCGGTCTGGTCCCTGTGGATGCAGTTATATCGGTTAAATCTCCTCCGACCAATCAGCGAGATGGGGAGGCGGGTGTTGTAGCGAAGTTGTAGTTTGGCGACGGCGGAGAAGGCGATAGTAAAATAATGCGTTCTGGTTTGGCTGTAAAGAGGAATGTTTAGCAAAGGTCATTGTTGGCAAAGATTTTGTGGTTCTACTCCCCACAGGCTCCGTTAGTAAATGCTAAAGCTAGACTAAATGCTAAAGCTAAACTAAATGCTAACAACTCACTCGGGCACATTACATACGTCACGGTAAACTCAGATCCAATCGTTTCAATCTGCCAAAGGAGTTCATCCCTCCCACCTGTTCACGGAGTCAATGGAGCAAATCCAGACGTTAGAACGAAATGAATTTGTTCTGGATCAAAAACTGGGCTTGGGTCACACACAGAGCGTAGAGATCCAGACCTTAGTACGTAGAGTGGACTGACCGAGTGTGTTCAAAAGGCGTTCCACAGACTTTTCATGTGAGTTCATTTGTCTTGGACGTGCCCTCAGCAGTGATGGGCAGTAGCGTCGCTACGCTACTTGTAGCGACGCTACTTGTAGCGACGCTACTAGCTTAACTACATTTTTCAGTAGCTTGACAGTAGCGTCACTATTTACAAAACCTAGTAACTTTTCTGTAGCTAAGCTATATTATTGCTCAAGTAGCGCGGTAGCGTCCGCCAAAGCTATTTTCTCACGGACATCTCTGATGTTCACATATTACAGCATTTTCCCGCAGCATAAAACAAACATATAGAAAGACAGAATGCTGATGCGCATGCGCAGGGCTTGGTAACAACACACACACACAAACGTACGCGCGCACGCACACGCACACACATGCGCGCGTGCTACTGGGGGAAGCAAAAGCATGGCAGAGAGCCCAGGAGCCTCCGCGGTGGAGGAGGACCATGATAAGGACTCTCAAAGTGTTGTACCGTGGCCATACCTCCAAAAGTACGTCACTCTAGTCGAGATGAGCGAAAAGAAATATGTTTTCAGATGCCTACTCTTTGTTGTTTTTGGTGTTTTGGGCTATTGTTCAATAAATATCTACAAAATGTTAACCTTTATCTGACTGACAGTTTATCTCAAATAAGAAGATAAGCTTTATTAATCTCACACAGGAGAAATTTACATGTCACATTTGGCATGGATAAAACACTCAAGAATTGTGCAAAAAATAAGAAATGAGCAAACATGTTAATGCAGGAAAATATAAAATTGCATGAACTGCAGTTTGTTTAATTGAAAATAGCTTCTATATAGCAAGCTACTTTTGACAGTAAGTAAGTAAGTAAGTAAGCTTTTATTTATATACCGCCTTTTCACTGCACATCGGAGTCTCAAAGTGGTTTACAATTGTTATTTTTTTGGGAGTGGGGGTGCCAGTACAGGAGGCACATGCCAGACCTATTGTACATATTTTTAGTGGTAGGGGAAACCGGAGCACCCGGAGGAAACCTACGCAGACACGGGGAGAACATGCAAACTCCACTCAGAAAGGCCCTGGTCCAACAGGGATTTGAACCCAGGACCTTCTTGCTGAGAGGCGAGAGTGCTATCCACTCAGCCACCGTGCCGCCCGACAGAATTTTGTAACTTAGCTTGCTACATTTGTATGGGTGGTAGCTTCTGTGTAGTGAAGCTGAATTTATTGTAGAGTAGCTTGTAGCTTAGCTCACTACACAAATCAAGTAGCTTGCCCATCACTGGCCCTCAGTACTGCTGCTGCTGCGACCATGAAAAACACAGAGTGGAAGTGGTGGAGCTTTGATGCTAATAAGTCTAAACCAGCAGGTTTTAGAGCAAAGTTCTTCAACACAAGTGCAGCTCTGCAGCGTGTGGGTCCTGAGATCCTCCATAGTCAGATGATTGTGAATTATTTGTATGTTTTATGATATTAACTGGTTTTTCCTCATCTGCGAAGGCGTTAGCACCACTTCTATCCAATCACAGGAGAACGAGAACTGGAGACATGTTTCCACAAGCACAATGTCAGTCCTGGTTCAGTCCTGGTTCACCTGGTTTAGTCCTGGTTCAATACTAGGTCTACAGCCTCAGTCCTGGGTCTACAGCCTCAGTCCTGGGTCTTCAGCCTCAGTCCTGGGTCTTCAGCCTCAGTCCTGGGTCTACAGCCTCAGTCCTGGATCTACAGCCTCAGTCCTGGGTCTACAGCCTCAGTCCTGGGTCTACAGCCTCAGTCCTGGGTCTACAGCCTCAGTCCTGGGTCTACAGCCTCAGTCCTGGGTCTTCAGCCTCAGTCCTGGGTCTTCAGCCTCAGTCCTGGGTCTACAGCCTCAGTCCTGGGTCTACAGCCTCAGTCCTGGGTCTTCAGCCTCAGTCCTGGGTCTTCAGCCTCAGTCCTGGGTCTACAGCCTCAGTCCTGGGTCTTCAGTCTGGGTCCTTCCTCCCAGCTTCATATTAATTAATTTGTAAATATTATAATTTGTATATATCTAAAATTGTGAAAAATAAGCAGCAGGAACTATTTTTGTTTTTATCCATATTTTTGCTCATAACTGATGAGGAATTGAACCAATGCTGGTGCAGTGGTTTGTGCTTCAAAGAAGAAAGGTCTCGGGTTCGATTTCACCTCCAGACAGGGCCTTTTTGAGTGGATTTTGCATGTTCTCCCTGTGTCTGTATAGGTTTCCCCGAGGGCTCCACAAAAACATGTGTGAATTGTGACGGTCGGAGCTTTCTGTCGCCACCGCGTGGAAAAGAATGGACATTACAAGAATGCAAAGTGTAACGTTTGTCTGAGAACTGCACAATATGAATAAAAAGTACTTATTTTTATGTAATGAGAGAGAGAGAAAGAGAAAGAGAGAGAGACACACACACACACACACACACACACACACATAGAGAGAGAGAGAGAGAAGAGAGACACACATACACAGAGAGAGAGAGAGAAGAGACAGAGCGCGATGAAGAGGCAAGAGAGAGAGACTAGAGGGAGAGAGATGGATATAGATAGATAGAAAGATGACTGGAGAGAGACTAGAGAGAGAGAGAGAGAGAGACAAGAGAGACACACACACACATAGAGAGAGAGAGAGAAATAGAGAGAATGAGAGAGAGAGACAAGAGAGACACACACACATAGAGAGAGAGAGAAAGAGAGAATGAGAGAGAGAGAGACAAGAGATAGAGAGCGATGAAGAGGCAAGAGAGAGAGACTAGAGGGAGATAGATGGATATAGTTAGATAGATGGCTGGAGAGAGAGAGAGGGGGAGAGAGAGAGCGAGAGAGACTAGGGAGAGAGATAGATGGATAGATAGGTGGATAGATAGATGGATAGATAGATAGATAGATAGATAAAACTTTCTCTTCCATGCCCCGCCCACTCCCGTGTGTGAACCAATAGCATTGCGGCGCTGCTTCCTGTTTGGGTCCCCGTGCTGTGGTTAGCTCGGGGCTAAAGCTAACAGCATTTGTGCCAAAATGTCTGCATTGGAACCGCTTCAGGAGCCCGGACTGAAGCTGGAGGAGCTGAAAGAGGAGACAGAGGAGGAGCAGCTGTAAGACGCACCACTCAAACACTTGCATGACGTGCAGTGATCAGAGGTGTTTATCAATGGGAAATACTCCATAAATCCATCAGCTGCTGCACTATTATTATGCATTATTGCTGTATATTTATTTGCATATATATTTGTCCCATGGAGTTTTCCCGGTGTAGTTTCAAACCAGCGGAGTCCTGTTCTAAGGCTCGGTCCCGTTATGTTGGCGTCATAGTTTTATTCTAATGTTTTTATAAGAACCGTACGTTGGCAGAACACGGCCTGTATTATTACTCAGTTAATCAGTATTGCATTATTATTATTATGTTTTTATTTTATTAACCTGTTTTAGTTATGTTTGTGCAGAGTTAGCAGTGTTCATTGTTCAGTCTGACAGACGAGGCACGCGCAGTCACTAAGCCTCAAATATATTGTTATTGTCACTTGTCTGTTTTAGCAAATGTACTTTTCAGTTAATCTGGAATTTCAATATAGAGTTAAAAAGTGGATCTTTAAAAATAACGACAAAATGTCATGTTATTTATCTTCAATTTTCAATACTTTGATTTAAAGCCCAAGGGAAAGAGGAAAAGGGGTGAGAGAGCGAGACCAGAGAGAGCGAGACCAGAGAGAGCGAGACCAGAGAGAGCGAGACCAGAGAGAGAGAGACCAGAGAGAGAGAGACCAGAGAGAGCGAGACCAGAGAGAGCGAGAACAGAGAGAGAGACCAGAGAGAGAGAGACCAGAGAGAGAGACCAGAGAGAGAGAGACCAGAGAGAGACCAGAGAGGGAGACCAGAGAGGGAGACCAGAGAGAGGGAGACCAGAGAGGGAGACCAGAGAGGGAGACCAGAGAGGGAGACCAGAGAGGGAGACCAGAGAGGGAGACCAGAGAGGAGACCAGAGAGCGAGACCAGAGAGCGAGCGAGACCAGAGAGCGAGACCAGAGAGCGAGACCAGAGAGCGAGACCAGAGAGCGAGACCAGAGAGCGAGACCAGAGAGCGAGACCAGAGAGCGAGACCAGAGAGCGAGACCAGAAGAGAGCGAGACCAGAGAGCGAGACCAGAGAGCGAGACCAGAGAGCGAGACCAGCGAGAGAGCGAGACCAGAGAGCGAGACCAGAGAGCGAGACCAGAGAGCGAGACCAGAGAGCGAGACCAAGAGCGAGCGAGACCAGAGAGCGAGACCAGAGAGCGAGACCAGAGAGCGAGACCCGAGACAGAGAGCGAGACCAGAGAGCGAGACCAGAGAGCGAGACCAGAGAGCGCGAGACCAGAGAGCGAGAGACCAGAGAGAGACCAGAGAGAGAGACCAGAGAGAGAGACCAGAGAGGGAGACCAGAGAGGGAGACCAGAGAGGGAGACCAGAGAGGGAGACCAGAGAGGGAGACCAGAGAGGGAGACCAGAGAGGGAGACCAGAGAGGGAGACCAGAGAGGGAGACCAGAGAGGGAGACCAGAGAGAGAGACCAGAGAGAGAGACCAGAGAGAGAGACTAGAGAGAGACCAGAGAGAGCGAGACCAGAGAGAGACCAGAGAGAGACCAGTGAGAGAGACCAGAGAGGGAGACCAGAGAGGGAGACCAGAGAGGGAGACCAGAGAGGGAGACCAGAGAGGGAGACCAGAGAGGGAGACCAGAGAGGGAGACCAGAGAGGGAGACCAGAGAGGGAGACCAGAGAGGGAGACCAGAGAGGGAGACCAGAGAGGGAGACCAGAGAGGGAGACCAGAGAGCGAGACCAGAGAGCGAGACCAGAGAGGGAGACCAGAGAGGGAGACCAGAGAGGGAGACCAGAGAGGGAGACCAGAGAGGGAGACCAGAGAGGGAGACCAGAGAGGGAGACCAGAGAGGGAGACCAGAGAGGGAGACCAGAGAGGGAGACCAGAGAGGGAGACCAGAGGTTCTATCACTAGTATTCACATGCATGTGTTTTTGACCTCTCTCACATCTTGGATCAGATTTTACCTGACAGTAAAAGTTGAAAAGAGAGGACCACCCTCACTCAGCCAATCAGCTCTCAGCCCAGAGTGACTCACAGGGCTCACCGAGCAGTGACTGACGAGTGTCAGAAGTGCACAAAGGCTAGATACTTGTTCTGTTGACAAATCTTACTTAAAGGATCAAAGTTTTTTTTTATGGAGGTGCTGAGGAGAATCAGCTCCAAATCTGAGGCCATGGTGCTCGACCGGAAAAAGGTGCCTTGCCCTCTGCAGGTGGAGAGGTCCTTCCTCAAGTGGAGGAGTCCAAGTATCTCGGGGTCTTGTTCACGAGTGAGGGAAGGATGGAGCGTGAGATTGACAGATGGATCGGTGCAGCGTGCGCAGTGATGCGGTCGCTGTATCAGACCGTTGTGGTGAAGAGGGAGCAGCGTCTGCAGTCAGAGCTGTATCGGACCGTTGTGGTAAAGAGGGAGCTGAGCCGAAAGGCAAAGCTCTCGATTTACCGGTCAGTCTTCGTTCCCTCCCTCACCTATGGTCATGAACGTTGGGTAATGACCGAAAGAACGAGATCGCGGATACAAGCGGTCGAAATGAGCTTCCTCCGCAGAGTGGCTGCTCCCTTAGAGAGAGGGTGAGGAGCTCGGGAAGTCAGAAGAAAATGGATGGATGGATGTTTTTTTAAATGCATTTTTTAGAACTTAAATCTCTGCAGTTCGCAGCCCTGGGTTTGACGTTCTCTGGGTAAAAGCAGTTGGGCCTAAACACGTGTGATTCTATTACAGGACCTGGACTTCTGAATGAGCAGAAGGAGGCCGTGTAGCTTCTTTAAATTAGATTTAACAATATTTTCAAAACAGATGAACGGACAGATAAATATTGTCCTGTTTGTATGTTCTCCAGGTGTGTCTCAGAGTCCAGGTCTGAGTGTGTGAAGACCGGAGAGTCTGAAGAAGAGGACGCTCAGACCAGTCCCTTAATGTGTCCTGGGCCTGGACTGAACCAGGGTCCGAACCAGGGTCTGAACCAGCGTGTGAACCAGCGTCTGAACCAGCGTCTGAACCAGCGTCTGAACCAGCGTGTGAACCAGCGTCTGAACCAGCGTGTGAACCAGGGTCCAAACCATGGTCTGGAGAAGGAACTGGACAATGGTCTGGATCAGGGACTGGACAATGGTCTGGATCAGGGACTGGACAATGGTCTGGATGTGAAGCAGGAGAAAGAGGAGCTGGAGGAGCAGAGCATCAGTCTGAAGCTTGACACGGAGTAAGTGACACTTTTTAAACAAAAATAAACACATGCAACATATTATCTTGTGGTTTCAGCGTAAAATCAATCAATCAATCTTAGAGTGATGTAATACCACGCACCAACTATCTTCCGCTTCATCCGTTGCGTATTGAGGGCAGCAAAGACTTCTCATTCCATACGTGGATTAGGGCTTTCTGTGACCCTTGTGTGTGGATTTTTTTGTAAATCAAGATATAAAGAAAATAGTGTCGCATTGTTTGTTCTGTGTGGGAGAATGGACCTGGTTTACTGACTTATAGTTGTTAGAATGATATGTTTTTTTTTTTTTCAGACCTGTCCCTGACTTGAACATAGTGTATGTGAAGACAGAGGAGCCCAAAGGAGACACAGAGGGAGAATCGGAGCTCTCCTCTGACCGTGACGAAGACTCCACCGAGACCAGAGCCACAGCCGACACTGGAGACCAGTCCCAGACCATGGGACCCCAGCACGAGTGTCCTGTCTGTAAGAAGATGATCAAAGGAGGCCGACCGCATTTACAAAGGCACATGAGAATTCACACCGGAGAAAGGCCTTACAGCTGCTCATTGTGCGACAAGAGGTTTTACCAAATGGGTCATCTCAGCACTCACATGAACGTGCACACGGGAGAGAAGGCCTTCAGCTGTCCCTTCTGTAAGAAAGACTTTTCCCAACATTCTGGACTGAAGTGCCACATCAAAGTGCACACAGGGGAAAAACCATTCAGCTGCTCACTCTGCAACAAGGAATTCGGACAAAAGTCGACCTTGAAACGCCACATGACAGTGCACACAGGAGAGCGGCCGTTCAGCTGTCCCACCTGCAACAAGCCTTTCTCCTCTCGCTATGAACTAAAAGTACATGAAAGAACGCACACGGGGGAGAAACCTTACAGCTGTTCCACCTGCAATAAAACCTTCTCACGTCGAGGTAATCTTCAAGAACATGAAATTATGCACAGTGGCGTGAAACCCTTCAGCTGCTCAATCTGCCAGAGAGTTTTCACCTTTGTGTCTGGACTAAAGAGTCACATGAAGACACACACACGAGAGAGCTCAAAAACCTTGCAGCTGGTCCACAATGATCTGAAATCACAAGAGGCGTCTGCAGAAGAGTGCAGAGAGACCCTGCAAGTGCGCAGAGCCTGATGTGAAACTCAGAAGGTCCGACTTCCGACTCGGGAATTATGAAGGAACGCTGCGCAGCCCGGAAACTCTGACCCTCTCTACCTCTTTATATTACTCTTTCTCTCTTGCTAACCATCTCCTTCTCCCTCACCCTCTCTCTCTCTTTCTCTCCCTTTACTCTCTCTCTCTCTCACCCTCTCACTTGTCTCTCCTCCCCAGTTCTCAGAGCACCTCCTCAGACCTGAACCCTGGATGGAAGTTGATAGTCTCCAGATCAAACATTTGACACCGGAACAGTATTCAAATGCAGCACATTATTATGAAGATGTTTTCAGGCCATTCAAGTATTTTATCTTTGCCTAAAAAAACTACATGAAGTTTCACAAGTACAGATTCTTATGAGGCTTAATAATAAATGGTGTCCTCTCTCTCTGTGTATGATCATTGTTTTTATTAAAAGGAGGAAGGAGGGGCTGACGGCACACACTGGTTGCCTTGCTTGTTTCAGTTTGCCCCAGGGCAGTTGTGGCTACAGTTGTAGTTATCACCACTGCGTATGGCGTGATAGAATAATGACAAGTGTCCAAAAAAGCACTGTATAAAACCGATGTATTATTTTTAAACTTTGAGTCACAATATTATTATAATTTACAACACATTTGTTTCGATCATAGACCGTACAGTATGAATACTATATTTCGTTCATATTTTCGATTGGCCTGATTGTCCATCCCACCTCACCCTCAGCCAATAAGCACACGGAGCTGTTTGTGGACAGCCAATCAGAGCAGGGGCTGCAGCGGTCTGGCACTTCCGGGTCCCGGCGTGTTGTGGTTGTTGTTAGCTCTGAGCTAAAGCTAACAGGTTTGTCAAACATGTCTGTGAATGAAGCGGAAGAAGAGACGAGTCCTGGCCCACGAACGAACCAGGGTCTGGACCGGGGACTGAAACCGGGTCTGGACCAGGGACTGAAGCAGGAGATGAAAGAAGAGCCAGAGGAACAGCGCGTTAGTCTGGAGCCACAACACAACACACAGTTGTAAGAGACGCGGTTCAAACACATCTGATCTGACAGTTTTACAGACCAAAGAAAAAAACTTTCAAAGCCAGTAACATGAGTTTCCTTAGATTAAAGTGAATGTAGCTTGAAAATGTTATGTACTCCAGCTTTAAAATGTGGGCTCTTTAAAATACAGAGAATCTGAGAAATGCTGCCTAATATTGATTTAGATTGTGAATAATCTGGCGTCTCTAGATCAGATGAATATTGTATTGTTCTCATCTTTTTCAGGTGTGCGTACAGTGCTGCGTATTTGAAGACTGAAAAGTTTGAGCCTAAAGAAGAAGAGGACACAGAGGGAGAAACCGACCACTCCTCTGACTATGATAAGGACTGTAGACCTAGTTTCAGCTGTAACAAAGTCCAAACCAGAGGCCGACGCCGAGCCGGTCTTCCCTCTAAACCCACAGCGGAGACCAGCGACAACGATCTGGACCAGAGTTCTCCTGACTCTGATGACCAATTCTACACTGGGGAATTCCGCTGTTCCATCTGTAGGAAAGAGTTCAGCCTGCGCAGCAACCTAAGACGGCATCAGCGAGTGCACACGGGGGACCGGCCCTTCAGCTGTCCCATCTGTGAGAAAACGTTCACCCAAAAGTCTGTTCTCAAAGGCCACATGAAATCGCACACAGAAAAACCAGAAGAGAGACGATTCAGATGTCCAACCTGCGACAAGAGGTTCTCCAATAACTCTGGTTTGAAAGTACATATGAGGATACACACAGGGGAAAGACCTTACAGCTGTTCAGTCTGTGACAAAGCCTTTCGCAACCTGAGTAATAGAAACAATCACCTGAATGTTCACGCTGGAATAAGACGGTTCCCATGTTCTGTCTGTCCCAAAGCCTTTTTCCGACTCCCTGCTTTGAAGAGACACAAGATGACTCACACCGGAGAGAGACCTTTCAGCTGCTCTGTCTGCAAGAAAAGCTTCACCCAAAACTCTGGCCTGAAGAGCCACATGTTAGTGCACACAGGGGAGAAACCTTTCAGCTGCTCCACTTGTGATAAAGCCTTTTCCTCGTTGAGTAGTCTGACCGGTCATAAGAGAACTCACACAGGAGAGAAGCCGTTTGTCTGTCCAACCTGCGGCTGGGCCTTCGCCTGCCGCGGGAACCTCACGCAGCACTTACTATTTAAACACGCACCAAAGACGGAGACCGGTTCAGTTGGCAAGAAATTGAGTTATCGTCCCGGTGCTAAGAGAAGCTGCTACGTCCAGGTGAGAAGATTCCCCCTGAAGAGTTTGGACAAAGACGGAAGAATCCACACGAGTCGGATCCCGGCAGAAAAATAAACCTGTACTATTTAACTGTCGTTTTTCTACAGCAGTTTTTTTTACTTAAAAAATGTATACGTTACTGCTGTTTTCTAAGACTGTTAAAATCCAAGTCTGAGTCCATTATTACTCCTCCGTATCTACCTTAGTCTGAGGGTTTTAGGGAGAGAGACTGGAGGTGACGCTCATAAAACATTGTTTATGTGAACCAAACACCATACTTCCAGTTTTGTCAGAGTGAGTCCCTTGATCCATGTTTTCCTGCAGTGAGTGTTGTCTGCAGTTCCACATGAAGAGATTGAACAGAACAGGTCCCAAGATCGACCCCTGTGGCGCTCTGCACGTCAGGGCCATATGATTGTTGACACAGTTCCCAAAATCAACAAAGTACTTGCAGTTTTGAAGATACAGTGCCTTGCGAAAGTATTTGGCCCCCTTGAACATTTCAACATTTCAGGTTTCAAACATAAAGATATAAAAATTATTTTTTTTGTAAAGAATCAACAAGTGGGACACAATCGTGAAGTGGAACGAAATGTATTGGATGATTTAAACGTTTTTAACAAATAAAAAACTGAAAAGTGGGGCGTGCAATATTATTCGGCCCCTTTGCACTAATACTTTGTAGCGCCACCTTTTGCTGCAATTACAGTTGCAAGTCGCTTGGGGTATGTCTCTATCAGTTTTGCACATCGAGAGACTGGAATTATTTCCCATTCTTCCTTGCAAAACAGCTGGAGCTTAGTGAGGTTGGATGGAGAGCGTTTGTGAACAGCAGTCTTCGGCTATATCCACACGAAGACAAAACGCTTATAATTTCAGAAACTTTTTCTGTAAACACGGAGTTAGCTCAGTAAATGTGTGCGTCCATATGAATGTAGTCAATACGCCTGAAAACGCTGTGAAACTATGCCAGACCTGTTGGTGGTGCTGTGACGCAATGACGGGATCAAGCCCAAACTTCCGTGACGGGAACTGGGCATGCGCAGAATTTTGTAAACAGACAACATGGCGAGTGGGCGAGCTGGTACTACATTAGTATGGACGGACGATGAGGTTGAACTGTTGCTTCGGGTCACACTGGATTACAAAACCAACAAGCTACATTGTTGTTGTCATTATTTTCTGAGTGCGGCGCATGCGTGCTTTAACAAGAGGCGGGGCGATGACGCAAGCGTCTCAGATACATTGCGGAGAGGCAGTAACCACGGAGCGGCATATACGGAGTTTTGAAATCTTTCCACTCTGGGACCTACTTTCAAAAATGTTCGTTTACACCCCCCCAAAACGCTGGCCTCGTATGGACGATACACTGGATTGATAAAGTATTTTTGCGTTTAGGCCTGAGCTTGACTTCGTGTGGACAGGGCCTTCAGCTCTTTCCACAGATTCTGGATTGGATTCAGGTCTGGACTTTGACTTGGCCATTCTAACACCTGGATACGTCTATTTGTGAACCATTCCATTGTAGATTTGGCTTTATGTTTTGGATCATTGTCCTGTTGGAAGATAAATCTCCGTCCCAGTCTCAGGTCTTTTGCAGACTCCAACAGGTTTTCTTCCAGAATGGTCCTGTATTTGGCTCCATCCATCTTCCCATCAATGTTAGCCATCTTCCCTGTCCCTGCTGAAGAAAAGAAGGCCCAAAGCATGATGCTGCCACCACCATGTTTGACAGTGGGGATGGTGTGTTCAGGGTGATGAGCTGTGTTGCTTTTACGCCAAACATATCGTTTTGCATTGTGGCCAAAAAGTTTGATTTTGGTTTCATCTGACCCGAGCACCTTCTTCCACATGTTTGGTGTGTCTCCCACGTGGCTTGTGGCAAACTTTAAACGAGACTTTTTATGGATATCTTTGAGAAATGGCTTTCTTCTTGCCACTCTTCCATAAAGGGCAGATTTGTCCAGTGCACGACTGATTGTTGTCCTATGGACAGACTCTCCCACCTCAGCTGTAGTTATCTGCAGTTCATCCAGAGTGATCATGGGCCTCTTGGCTGCATCTCTGATCAGTCTTCTCCTTGTTTGAGATGAAAGTTTGGAGGGACGGCCGGGTCTTGGTAGATTTGCAGTGGTCTGAAACTCCTTCCATTTCAATATAATTGCTTGCACAGTGCTCCTTGAGATGTTTAAAGCTAGGGAAATCTTTTTGTATCCCAATCCGGCTTTAAACTTCTCCACAACAGTATCTCGGACCTGCCTGGTGTGTTCCTTTGTCTTCATGGTTCTCTCTGCGCTTTAAACAGAACCCTGAGACTATCAAAGAGCAGGTGCATTTATACGGAGACTTGATTACACACAGGTGCATTCTATTTATCATCATCAGTCATTTAGGACAACATTGGATCATTCAAAGATCCTCACTGAACTTCTGGACTGAGTTTGCTGCACTGAAAGTAAAGGGGCCGAATAATATTGCACGCCCCACTTTTCAGTTTTTTATTTGTTAAAAAAGTTTAAATTATCCAATAAATGTTGTTCCACTTCACGATTGTGTCCCACTTGTTGTTGATTCTTGACAAAAATAAAAAATGTTATATCTTTATGTTTGAAGCCTGAAATGTGGCGAAATGTTGAAAGGTTCAAGGGGGCCGAATACTTTCGCAAGGCACTGTACTTCATGAGGAGTAGCAGAGACACTCATCTCTGAGAGTGTGTCATGATGGAAAGTGTCAAACGCAGATTCAGTTCTAATGCTGCTTTCATGTGATCTCAGAAATACACAAAGACACACACACAAATCTGGGACTTCTGAGTTGAAATTGCAACTTGAGTTCATTCCCATTTAAATGAAATTTGAAGTTTGAGATTGCACAAAAGCAGCAAGAGTCTTTGATAACGCAAAAGTCTCTGTCATTGCAGTGTCTGAAAAGACCAGATGTGGCTGATCATTTAATTACAGGTAAGGATAAGTACAACTGTGCCAAGATGTGGAATTGTAATTTTATCTTTTATGATGTGGTCAAGAGGAAGTAAATACAGCTTAAAGTGGTTTGTCCTCCATAAATACTGGGACATTCTTTTCATCACAAGGGAATAAAATGGAACAAACAAAACGTGTTTGAATGTGAAGAAGTCAGCTTTGTATAGCACAGTTCATTCAAACAGCAAGTGCTGAAGCACACAACATTAGTTGTATATGTACAGCCAAACAGAAATGAGATTTTAGCTGCATAAATCTGAAATGCTGCCCTCCCATGTTTAGTCCTGACTCTGGGCACCAGCAGTAGCTAGTCCCTGTGCTCCTCAGAGTCCCAGCAGGGGCCAGTCCCTTTGCTCCTCAGAGTCCCAGCAGGAGGCCAGTCCCTGTGCTCCTCAGAATCCCAGCAGGAGGCCAGTCCCTTTGCTCCTCAGAGTCCCAGCAGGAGGCCAGTCCCTTTGCTCCTCAGAATCCCAGCAGGAGGCCAGTCCCTTTGCTCCTCAGAGTCCCAGCAGGAGGCCAGTCCCTTTGCTCCTCAGAATCCCAGCAGGAGGCCAGTCCCTTTGCTCCTCAGAGTCCCAGCAGGAGGCCAGTCCCTTTGCTCCTCAGAGTCCCAGCAGGAGGCCAGTCCCTTTGCTCCTCAGAGTCCAACACAAGTTTGTTATAGATGCTCTGAAGGGCCGTCTGTTGTCCAGGCTGAGACCAGAGGAGACTGGGTCTGGGGTCTGTGGTCAGTCTACAGAGAAGCCCTGATACTCTTGCACATTAGAGCATCCCAGTCACTCCAGCCCTTCAGTGCCCTCTCTGGAGACGCACCTTTCCCAACTGACATTTGACAGTTGGAGAGAATTTCCAAGGTTCTTTAATTATCTTTTGTTAATCTTTATAATTATTTATTTTTTTGACCGCCTTTTATCGTACAGCAGTTTGGCATAGCTGTTGTTACATTTTCCTTCTTTATTTATTTATTATTATAACTTCCGCGAACGTGCCCCGCCCACTGCAGCTGGAGCCAATAGCGTCGCGCGGCCACTTCCGGGTTGTGCAGCGTTAGCTCCGAGTCAAAGCTAACGCTGTTTTGCTTTTAAAAATGCCTTTGCAGGAGAAGAACGAGGATAATCTGCAGAAAGCACCGTAAGAACCACACTCAACAGTCCTGTCGTATTCACCACAAGGTTTAGCATTGTGCATTTTATTATCCAAGTCCAACTAATGCTAGTAACTTGTATCAATCTGACACTGCTAACGTGATTTACTTACAATACGATTCTTTTGTTTTTATCCTGTTCAAATATTGTCTGAAGATGTTGTCAACGCTGTTACTGACGTGAGATTTTTAGGAATTTGTGAATTCCCCCATTATTGACAATACTTTGGCTTTATGTCTCAATAAGGTTTTTTTCCCCAGTTGTTTGTTTATGTATTTGATTTTAGGACAGTACATATTGCGGAGTTTTTCCACAGGCAGGAAGAAACACAGAAGATTAAGTCCAAGGAAAAGCAGATCTTCATGTATGGGAGCTTGCCTGGTTTGATGTTTCAGGACTCCTTTAAATGTCGTTTGGAATTGAAGTCGTTTTATGTCAATGCATTCAGAAAATACATCTTCACTTTCTCTGTCAGAAGTTTACCCAGTTTTTGCTCAGTCGTGTTATATTTACTTTCTTGGGTCAGACATTGTTGGCATTCTCTCACACGCTTGTGAGATGCAGTTCTGTTTGTTGCAGGCTTTGACAGCTGCCAACTCAGGACCAAAGAACAATGAGCTGTTGTCCCAGACCTACAGTGAAGCATGGGGGTGGAAACATCATTTTATTTGCAAAGGGAAGAATGAATGTGGTATTGTGAGGTTTGAAGTGAAAACCTCCTTCCATCAGCGAGGGCAGTGAGGATAAAACATGGGTCTTTCAGAATGTCAATGATCCCAAACACACGTCGCCCTGGCAACGCAGGAGGCTTTGTGAGAAGATTTTCAAGGTCCTGGAGAGGCCTCGGTTTTCAGATCTCAGCTCCAGAGAAAATCTTAGTCTGTGTTGCCCAGAGACAGCCGTGAACAAACATCACTGCTCTAGAGGAGATCTGCACGGAGGAATGGGACAAAATACCAGAACAGCGTGTGAAAACCCATTTGAAGCCTTAGTGACATCTGTCCTTTCTCACAAAGGGAATAACAAAGGTCTAATCTGAAGTATGAGATGGACGTTTTGTGTATATACTTAATATCTGTCATTTGCAAATACAAATCAGACGGCTATGAAGGCAATTACAGTGCCTTGCAAAAGTATTTTGTGTGTTTTGTTTCCTCACAACCTGGAATTAACATGGATTGTTTGAGGATTTGCATCAGTTAATTTACGCAACATGCCACAACCTTGAAGATGTCTTTTTTTTATTGTGAAGCAAACAACAAATAGGACAAAATAACAGAAAAGGTCAATGTGCATAACTATTCACCCCCTAAAGTCAATACTTTGTAGAGCTCCTTTTGCAGCAGTCACAGCTCCAAGTCGCTTTGGATAAGTCTTACCACTCTTATCTTAATCTTACCACTGGGATGTTGGCCCATTCCTCCTTGCAAAACTTCTCCAGCTCCTTCAAGTTGGATGGTTTGTGCTTTAAGTCTGACACAGATTATCTATTGGATTAAGGTCTGGGCTTTGACTCGGCCATTCCAACACATTTACATGTTCCCCTTAAACCACTGAAGTGTTGCTTTAGCAGTGTGTTTGGGCTCATTGTCCTGCTGAAGGTCAACCTCCGTCCTAGCCTCAGATCACGCACAGAGTGGTACAGGTTTTGTTCAAGAATATCCCTGTATTTAGCACCATCCATCTTTCCCTCAACTCTGATTAGTTTCCCTGAAAACCATCCCCACAGCATGATGCTGCCACCACCATGCTTCACTGTGGGGATGGTGTTCTTTGGGTGATGTGATGTGTTAGTCTTATCAGACCAGAGCACCTTCCTCCATACATTTTGGGAGTCTCCCTCATGCCTTTTCACAAACTCAAAACGTTCCATTTTGTTTTTTTGCTGAAAGTAATGGCTTTCTTCTGCAACTCTGCCATAAAGCCCAACTCTATGGAGCGTACGGCTTATTGTGGTCCTATGTACAGATGCTCCAGTCTGCTGTGGAACTCTGCAGCTCCTCCAGGGTTACCTTGGGTCTCTGTGCGTCTGTGTGTCTCTTGGCAGGTTTGCTGTTGTGCCATGTTCTTTCCATTTGGTTATGATAGATTTGATGGTGCTCCTGGGGATCATCAGAGATTTGGATATTTGTTTATAACCTAACCCTGACTTGCACTTGTCAACAACACTGTCCCTGACTTGTTTGGAGAGTTCCTTGGTCTTCATGGCAGTGTTTAGTTAGTGGTGTCTCTTGCTTTGGTGTTGCAGCCTCTGAGGCCTTTCTAAAAAGGTGTGTATGTACTGACAGATCATGTGACTCTTAAAGGTGTGTATGTACTGACAGGTCATGTGACACTTAAAGGTGTGTATGTACTGACCGATCATGTGACTCTTAAAGGTGTGTATGTACTGACAGGTCATGTGACACTTAAAGGTGTGTGTGTACTGACCGATCATGTGACTCTTAAAGGTGTGTATGTACTGACAGGTCATGTGACTCTTAAAGGTGTGTGTATGTACTGACAGGTCATGTGACTCTTAAAGGTGTGTGTATGTACTGACAGGTCATGTGACACTTAAAGGTGTGTATGTACTGACAGGTCATGTGACTCTTAAAGGTGTGTATGTACTGACAGGTCATGTGACACTTAAAGGTGTGTATGTACTGACAGGTCATGTGACTCTTAAAGGTGTGTGTATGTACTGACAGGTCATGTGACACTTAAAGGTGTGTATGTACTGACAGGTCATGTGACACTTAAAGGTGTGTATGTACTGACAGGTCATGTGACTCTTAAAGGTGTGTATGTACTGACAGGTCATGTGACACTTAAAGGTGTGTATGTACTGACAGGTCATGTGACACTTAAAGGTGTGTATGTACTGACAGGTCATGTGACACTTAAAGGTGTGTATGTACTGACAGGTCATGTGACACTTAAAGGTGTGTATGTACTGACAGGTCATGTGACTCTTAAAGGTGTGTGTATGTACTGACAGGTCATGTGACTCTTAAAGGTGTGTATGTACTGACAGGTCATGTGACACTTAAAGGTGTGTATGTACTGACAGGTCATGTGACTCTTAAAGGTGTGTATGTACTGACAGGTCATGTGACACTTAAAGGTGTGTATGTACTGACAGGTCATGTGACACTTAAAGGTGTGTATGTACTGACAGGTCATGTGACACAGGTGTGTATGTACTGACAGGTCATGTGACTCTTAAAGGTGTGTATGTACTGACAGGTCATGTGACTCTTAAAGGTGTGTATGTACTGACAGGTCATGTGACACTTAAAGGTGTGTATTTACTGACAGGTCATGTGACACTTAAAGGTGTGTATGTACTGACAGGTCATGTGACACAGGTGTGTATGTACTGACAGGTCATGTGACACAGGTGTGTATGTACTGACAGGTCATGTGACTCTTAAAGGTGTGTATGTACTGACAGGTCATGTGACTCTTAAAGGTGTGTATGTACTGACAGGTCATGTGACACTTAAAGGTGTGTATGTACTGACAGGTCATGTGACACTTAAAGGTGAGTATGTACTGACAGGTCATGTGACTCTTAAAGGTGTGTATGTACTGACAGGTCATGTGACACAGGTGTGTATGTACTGACAGGTCATGTGACACAGGTGTGTATGTACTGACAGGTCATGTGACTCTTAAAGGTGTGTATGTACTGACAGGTCATGTGACTCTTAAAGGTGTGTATGTACTGACAGGTCATGTGACACTTAAAGGTGTGTATGTACTGACAGGTCATGTGACTCTTAAAGGTGTGTATGTACTGACAGGTCATGTGACTCTTAAAGGTGTGTATGTACTGACAGGTCATGTGACACTTAAAGGTGTGTATGTACTGACAGGTCATGTGACACAGGTGTGTATGTACTGACAGGTCATGTGACACTTAAAGGTGTGTATGTACTGACAGGTCATGTGACACTTAAAGGTGTGTATGTACTGACAGGTCATGTGACTCTTAAAGGTGTGTGTATGTACTGACAGGTCATGTGACTCTTAAAGGTGTGTGTATGTACTGACAGGTCATGTGACTCTTAAAGGTGTGTGTATGTACTGACAGGTCATGTGACTCTTAAAGGTGTGTATGTACTGACAGGTCATGTGACACTTAAAGGTGTGTATGTACTGACAGGTCATGTGACACACAGGTGTGTATGTACTGACAGGTCATGTGACTCTTAAAGGTGTGTATGTACTGACAGATCATGTGACTCTTAAAGGTGTGTATGTACTGACAGGTCATGTGACTCTTAAAGGTGTGTGTATGTACTGACAGGTCATGTGACTCTTAAAGGTGTGTGTATGTACTGACAGGTCATGTGACTCTTAAAGGTGTGTATGTACTGACAGGTCATGTGACACTTAAAGATGTGTATGTACTGACAGGTCATGTGACACAGGTGTGTATGTACTGACAGGTCATGTGACTCTTAAAGGTGTGTATGTACTGACAGGTCATGTGACTCTTAAAGGTGTGTATGTACTGACAGATCATGTGACTCTTAAAGGTGTGTGTATGTACTGACAGGTCATGTGACACTTAAAGGTGTGTATGTACTGACAGGTCATGTGACTCTTAAAGGTGTGTATGTACTGACAGGTCATGTGACTCTTAAAGGTGTGTATGTACTGACAGGTCATGTGACTCTTAAAGGTGTGTATGTACTGACAGGTCATGTGACACTTAAAGGTGTGTATGTACTGACAGGTCATGTGACTCTTAAAGGTGTGTATGTACTGACAGGTCATGTGACACTTAGACCGCACACAGGGGGACATCATTTCACTATTTATGTGACTTCTGAAGGTAGTCGGCTGCACCAGAGCTTTTTATGGGCTTCATAACAAAGGGGGTGAATACTTATGCACATGCCAATTTCCAGTTTTTTATTTATGAAAAATAGTTTTATGTATATATTTTTCACTTCACCAACTCAGACTATTGTTTTCTGATCCATCACATGAAAATCAGATAAACATTGAACTAAAGGCTGTAATGTAAAAAAATGGGTAAAAAGCCAAGGGGGGTAAAAACTTTTGCAAGGCACTGTAGTAACTCACAGGGCTCTATCTTACACAAACTATAACATGTTTTTAAATTAGATTAAACATATTCACATTAGGAGAAACAGTTTTCCGTTTGCATGTTCTCCAGGTGTGTCCCAGACTCCAGAAATAAAGCAGACGCACAGACGAGTCCTGGTCTGAACCACGGACTGAACCACGGACTGAACCACGGACTGAACCACGGACTGAACCACGGTCTGAACCACGGTCTGAAGCAGGAAGTCTCTGAGATGAAAGAGGAGCCAGAGGAGCAGAGCCTCAGCCTGGAGCCACAGCACGACACACGGTGAGACACTGCTTTAAAGGAGACACAAACATAGTCACGGACATAGTAGGAGTGGACTGACAGAGTGTGACATCACCACAGTGTTAGCCTTAATGCAGAATAAGCAGATATTTGAATTAAAGGTGCAGTAAGCGATGTTGGTAGCTTAGCTGTAGCACCAATTGGAACCAACTCCCCCCCCCTCCCCTCCTTCTACACCAAATCAAACATCCAGCATTTTCTTTTCTTTGTCACAACAACAAGAGTGGGTGGCAAACGTGAAATTGGCATTTTCTGTTCAGCCCTTTTTAGGTTCTAGAGCCAATTTCCTTATGTGGGCAATTCTCCTGCGGCGTTAGCTTTGTGCCGTAACGGGGGCAGAGGTGTTGCTAAGACGGTTGCTAAGGAAAGCTGGAGTTACCCCCTGCGACTGAAGGCATCTCATTGGTCAATCCTTATATGGCTCATATCTGGATTTACAAAGACTGTTATCCTTGTCGCAGCTGTGAGTTTGAGCAGATGGCCGTGTCTTGGTAGATTTGCAGTTGTGCTTTATTCTTTCCATTCACGGATTGAACAGTACTGCGCCGTCAATGTTCAATGTTTGCTTCGAAGTCCTCCACGCTTCTATCCTGACCTCTGACCTCTCTTGTTGGACTTCATGATGATATAGAATAATCTACTGTTCTACTTTTAAATCTTGAATCACAAATGTTATCGCAGGGTTCATCAGAATAACAGCCCGGCCCTGGACTTACGCTGATGTTATATACCCGCTATTTGAGTTCTTTAAAACGTCAAAGTGAAGATTCTAATCCAGAATGTGGCTTCAATCTGTTCCAGCTGTGGGGCCGACTTGAGTAGTGTGTGTGTGAAGACCGAAGATGACCACGATGAAGACGAGAGCGCTCCTTTCAGCTGTTCGGATCCAGAAGACGACGAGAGCAGAGTAATGCATATTCAACTGTTCCCGGCACACAGGTCTCAATTAAGGGAGAAAACCTTCAGCTGTTCAGTGTGTCAGAAAAGCTTTGTCTCGCTCAAAGGGCTAAAGAACCACTTGCGCCAGCACCACAGCGAGGAGCAGACTTACAGCTGTTCAGTCTGTCATAAGGTGTTTTCTGGCTCCAGCGCCCTAAAGGCTCACAGCAGGACACACACAGGGGAGAAACCTTTCGTCTGCTCCGACTGTAACAAAGGATTCACTTCTTATGGAGGACTGCAGAACCACACGCGACAGCACCACACCGGAGAGAAACCATTCAGCTGTTCAGTCTGCAACAAAGCCTTCTCCCATCAGTCCAGTCTGAACAAACACTCCAGAGTGCACACAGGGGAAAAACCTTTCAGCTGTCCAATGTGCAGCAAGGCTTTTTATCAACAAGATCATCTCGACACGCACATGAAGCTGCACACAGGGGAAAGACCCTACAGCTGTTCAGTGTGTGGAAAGACGTTTGCACAGAGGTCTAATCTGAACAAACACACCAAAACACATACAGGAGAGAGACCTTACAGCTGCTCTGTTTGCAATAAAACATTCTCACAGAAAAACAATCTTGAAAGACATGAACGACTCCACACAAGCTCAGAAGACTCAAGGGGAGACCTTTCAGCTGTTCAGGGTGTGACTGACTCTTCACCACAGGAGGCGCTAAAAGAAAGGTGAGTGAGGGTTACTTTAAAACTGATCAAATCAATACAAATTTCTCGAATGATCCAGGTGCTTTGAATCTTCCAGCAGCAAAGATACCAGCAAGAAGCACAACACATTCTAACAGAAAGCGTCTCTATGTGTTACAGGCCCGTCCCAGACTTGAATATTGTGTGTGTGAAGACAGAGGAGGACACAGAGGGAGAGACTGACCTGTCTTCTGACCGCGATGAAGACGAGAGAGCTCCTCTAAGCTGCTCTGATCCAGAAGAAGACGGCGACGGTCAAGCCATGAGGATTCAACTGTTCCCTGCACACAAGCCTCATGCAGGGGAGAAACCCCTCAGTTGTTCAGTGTGTAGGAAAGGGTTCATCTCCCGCAGAGGACTGAAGAACCATGTTCGCCAGCACCACAGCGAGGAGCAGACTTACAGCTGTTCAGTCTGTCATAAGGTGTTTTCTGGCGCCAGCGCCCTAAAGGCTCACAGCAGGACACACACAGGGGAGAAACCTTTCGTCTGCTCCAACTGTAACAAAGGATTCACCTCATACAACGGACTGCAAAGCCACACACGACAGCACCACACGGGAGAGAAACCATTCAGCTGTTCAGTCTGCGACAAAGCCTTCTCCCATCAGTCCAGTCTGAACAAACACTCCAGAGTGCACACAGGGGAAAAACCTTTCAGCTGTCCAATGTGCAGCAAGGCTTTTTACCACCAAAATCATCTCGACACGCACATGAAGCTGCACACAGGGGAAAGACCCTACAGCTGTTCAGTGTGCGGCAAGACGTTTGCACAAAGGTCTAATCTGAACAAACACATCAAAACACACACTGGAGAGAGACCTTACAGCTGCTCACTCTGTGATCAAAGATTTACCCAGAAGAGCAATCTAGAAAGACATGAACGAATCCATGTGATCTCAGAAAATGCTAAAAGAAACCTTTCAGCTGTTCAGAGTGCAATGGAAACTTCACCACAGGCGGCACTAAAGGAAGGGTAAGTGAACTTGAGGCAGCGAGGTGGATTTTAGACCAGAGCAGCACAAAGTAGCTGTCAGTCAAAATGAAACACGTTTGTGCTTATGGTCTTTGACACCAGATCAGCTGCACAAGTCCACAACACTTGTATTAAACAATACGTCTCCAAAGACTTTACAGCAGCAGTAGTCGTGGCTCTGTGCTTGCTGCTGGTGTGTGTATGCACGCCGCAGGCCTGTTTTGTTTCTGGTCAGCTACAGCTACATCAAGAAAGCCGTGTAGTTTTTCTAGCATTACTAATTGTGTGACAGTGTGAGATAAAACTACAAAGAGGCAGTTAACTGAGCGCACTAATATTAACAGATCCACATTGTTTTTTTCCCAGGGTTGTCCCAGAATGCATCTCTGTTTGTGTGAAGACAGAAGAGGACACGCAGCGAGAGGACACGCAGCGAGAGGACACGCAGCGAGAGGACACGCAGCGAGAGGACACGCAGCGAGAGGACACGCAGCGAGAGGACACGCAGCGAGAGGACACGCAGCGAGAGGACACGCAGCGAGAGGACACGCAGCGAGAGGACACGCAGCGAGAGGACACGCAGCGAGAGGACACGCAGCGAGAGGACACGCAGCGAGAGGACGTCAGTGCAGAGACTGAGGGAGAGACGGACCACTCTTCTGACTATGACAAGTCAGGAGACAGGCGTCCTATGAAAGTACACAAGGGAAAATCTGCAGTGGAAAAACCTTTCATCTGTTCAGTTTGTGACAAAGTGTTTTCCGGTGCCACTGCCTTAAAGGCTCACAAAAGAACACACACAGGGGAAAAACCTTTCGTCTGCTCATTTTGTGGGAAGGGATTTGCCTCACACGACGGACTGCAGAACCACACGCGACAGCACCACACCGGGGAAAAACCCTTCAGCTGTTCAGTCTGCGACAAGGCCTTCTCTCACCAGTCCAGTCTGGGCAAACACTACAAAACACACACAGGGGAGAGACCTTTCAGCTGTCCATTCTGCAGTAAGACATTTACCCAAAAGTGTCATCTGGACAAACATACCAGAACACACACAGGAGAGAGACCTTACAGATGCTCGGTCTGCACTAAGACCTTTTCCCAAAAGTCTAATCTAAACAAACATTCCAAAACACACAGAGGAGAGAGAGTTTACAACTGCTCACTTTGCAACAAAACATTTTCCCAAAAAAACAATCTAAAAAGACATGAAGAACTCCACACATGTTCAAAGGACATAAACGAAGACCTTCCAGCTGTTCAGACTGAGACTGAAGCTTTGCCACAGGAGGCGCTAAAAGAAAGGTACTGGATGTTTAGAGTTTACAGCACTTTGTGTATGAAATGTGGATAGAGCATCACTGCAGTGTTGGTCTCGATGCTGAAGAAGCAGAGTTCATTTATTATTGAACTTGAATGAAACGAACCGATGTTCAGTTTTCTGTTTCTGTCTCAGGTTTGTCCCAGAGTCCAGAGCCGAGTGTGTGAAGACGGAAGAGCCACGCCTTCACCCTGAACCCAAAGAAGACTCACATACCGGCCCTTTAAGTCCTGGGTCCACCCTGGACCAGGGTCTGGACCAGGGTCTAAAGCAGGGTCTGGACCAGGGTCTAAAGCAGGGTCTGGACCAGGGTCTGGACCAGGGTCTGGACCAGGGTCTAAAGCAGGAGGTCACAGAGATAAAGGAGGAGCCAGAGGAGCAGAGCGTCAGTCTGGAGAACGACACACTGTTGTAAGTGACACTGTTGAACACCTGTGATTCATGTGGCTCCACCTGCAGGTCTAAGCAGGCTGGGACCTGGTTAGTACTGTGATGGGCGACCTGTGGGAACACCAGGTGGGGCAGCTGCGGCGATGGTAGTAGTTTCTGTATAACAATACATTATCATAATTATTGTTTATTTGGTTGTCCATTTTAATGGACATCCTCAGTTTCCACTGGAGAGCCCTGTTTTGAGCTCAGTGATGACTGTGATGTCTGATGTGAGATCTGGACAGTGAGGCCAGGGTCAAACAAGAGCAGAAGTGTTAGCCCCGCCCACTTTGTTATGACAGTTCGGACCAATCAGACGACAGCAGCAAACCCACTCTGACTGATCATATTTTCCAGGTGCGTCCCAGACTTGAATATTGTGTGTGTGAAGATGGAGGAGGACACTGAGGGAGAAAGCGACCATTCTTCCGACCGCGATGAAGACGGGAGAGCTTTCAGCTGCTCAGAGTCTAGTGAAAACAGTGCAGACAAAGTGAGGACCCACCGGTGCCCCTTCTGCCAGAAGACAATCAAAGGAAATAAACACAATCTACTGATGCACATACGGGTTCACACAGGAGAGAGACCTTACAGCTGCTCAGTGTGCCACAAGACCTTTAGCCAACACGCTCACCTGCACACGCACAAGAAGGTGCACACGGGCGAGAAGCAGTTCTGCTGTGGAGTGTGTCAGAAAGCCTTCGCTCAGCGCGGAGTCCTCACGCGACACATGAAAGTGCACTGCGACAAACCTTTCAGCTGTTCCACCTGCCATCGACAGTTTTCCCAGAAGAGCAGCTTGGACCGACACAAGGAGCTGCACGTAACGGAGAGGCGCCACGGCTGGACCTGGCCCGGCTCCGACCCAGCTCCTCTCTCCGGGTCCGAGCTGGACTGACCTCTGACCCCTGAGAGAGTACACAAGGAGTAGACTGGCCGAATAAAAAAATAAATGTAGTGTTAGCCTTAATGGGAAGAGGCTGGGTTGCAATCACATGACCCGAAGGGGGCGTGGCATGGGGCCCGACACATCCTGACCGGGCGATGTGAGAGAACACATTTTTCCACGGCTTGGTATGAGTCGTATTTGGAGTGAAAACTATTTCAACAATGAAAGGACTAAGCAGCGGTTATAGTGACGACTGTGGAGTCTCTCTGGGATCAACAGAACCACGTCCGAGATGAAATAATAATTACATAAATATATGTAACTTCCTGCTGCAACATGTTGAAGTCGATTTGAACACACGCTGGAGCCAGTTCCCAAATATGGGACTTTGTTTTGCGTAAACTCATTGGTTTTTCAAATGCATAGAAACATATTTCTTGTTCATTTGTTCATTTGTATCAGAACTTTCCAATTCTTTTTTTCATCATTTTGAATGAATTTAACATTTTGTTCAATGCTGAGAGTCAAGTGTTGAATAAAGAAATAATGATTGCAGCCTCAACATTACTTTCAGACTCGACTTCCTTTTTTCTGCTTCTCACAGTGATCCGACTCGCCACGCCACAGATACAGCTTTATCTCAGATAGTGAAGTATTTTAAGGCCCATTTCAGCTCTCCACAAGTCTGAGACCAGAGAGTCTATGGAAGGTAAAACACCATTAATTCAAAACTGCCGGAAACCTTTTTTAAAGCCAGAAACTAGAAATGTAGTTCTGTTGTGGTTCGAAAGTTACGTAGCTTTGACCGACAACTCCTGTAAAATGGATTCTGCAAATATAATCTTTTAGGACAGAGTTCACGTGGTGATTTTTAGTCTCAGCCAATAAACACGCAGCAGTTTGTGGACAGCCAATCAGAGCAGAGGCCGTGGAGTCGCTGTGTTGTTCCTGAGAGAAGAGAAAAGACGTCCTGGGTCCTGTCTGAACTGGGGTCTGAATCAGGGACAAGACCAGGGACTGAACCAGGGTCTGAACCAGGGTCTGAACAAGTGTCTGGACCAGGGACTGAACGGTTGACCTTTCAGCTATTCCACCTGCGACAAGAGGTTCTCCCATAAATCAATCTTGAAAATACACATAGGATTACACACAGGTGAAAGACGTTCCCCATGTTCTGTCCTAAAGCCTTTTGCCGACCCCTGCTTTGAAGAGACACAGACTCACACCGGAGAGACCTTTCAGCTGCTCTGTCTGCAAGAAATGCTTCACCCAAAACTCCGGTGTGAAGAGCTACATCTTAGTGGACACCTTTCAGCTGTTCGACGTGCAATAAAGAGTTCTCCTCGTTGAACAGTTTGACTCTTCACTAAGACCGTGTGTCCGCGCCTGTGGCTGGGCCTTTTATATATTTTTTAGCTTCTTTTATGTACAGTATGTTCTTGTCTGGTGCACACTTTTGCACTTTTATTACAATTTGGTTTTACTGTAGTTTCTGTAATTTCTTTACTAAAAGCCACTACTTTCTCCTCGTTCTTTTCCACCCTGCAGCTAATACGTGTATTTTTATTGTGGTAGAGTCGGGTTGTTGATTATGAAGTTTTAGTAACTACAGGACACTGGTTTATTATCAAAATAGAGGAAGGTGAATGAGTAAATGCAAGAGTAAATAATTATATATTTACTTAATTGCCAATGGCGGTTTTACTGCAAAGTGAAATGGTTGAATTTATGGGACAAACGGGGTGTGTGCAGTGATGTGGACTGTGCAGGACGGAAAGCGATGTTGTAACTCGTTCCTTTTTCTGTATTTAGCCCCTCTTGACCCTAGACCCCTAACACCAGGGAGCACAGATGGAAACTTACCATCAACCAAAATCTGGCATGTTTACATTCCTGTTTTTAATATTCTGTACAGTGTCTCATTCAAATACAATCTGAGATATGTATGCATTTGTGTGAACACGTTTAGGTCTTAAGTCAGAAAGAACATAATTAAAGGAGGAAATTAGAACATATGTTTATTTTTTTTATTTTGTATTAGAACATAACTAAGAATCTGCAAACTAGTCCCGCCCACTCCAGTTTGAGCCAATGGCATCGCGGCGCTGCTTCCTGGTTATGTCGCCGTGTTGTGGTTAGCTCAATGCTAAAGCTAACGGCCTTCTATGCCAAAAATGTCTGGCAATGAAGCGCAGAGAAACCAGGAGCTGAGCCCGAGAGAAGAGACGAGTCCTGGGACCGGATTGGACCAGGATCTGGACCAGGGACTGGATCAGGGTCTGGATCAGGGTCTGGACCAGGGACTGAAGCAGGAGCCAGAGGAGGAGAGCATCAGTCTGGAGCCGCAGCACAACACACAGTAAGACTCTGTTTAAACGCATGTGAGGTTTTAAACATTGCACTAATAATAATTGTACTAAAATAATTATGAATGAAGTTAAAAACTGTACAACAAACAAGTAATGAGGAATAACAAACACTGCAATAACCCTAAACGTCAGAATGTGCAGTATCCACCTGTCATTGTCACTGTGTCCCAGAGCTGTCCTGTGAATACTTGGAATTCTTTTACGCTAATTTAAAGTAATATTAATGTGTTATAATGAGATGAGAGAACTTTTTTTCATCATAAAGTTGGGAAATTCCAGTGTTGCAGCTCATAAACAGTTCTAGGAGACTTTTTATGATTTTATTTTTTTTTTAACATCTGAACTTTATCATTGCTTTGAAGATTAGATGAATATTTGATTGTTGTGTTTTCTCCAGGTGTCTGTCAAACATCAACATTGTGTGTGTGAACATGAACAAGTGTGAGTCCGAAGAAGAAGAGGACTCACAGACCAGTCCTGGATCTGGACCAAACCAGGGACCGAACCAGGGACTCAACCAGGAGACGTCCAAGATGAAGGAGGAGCCAGAGGAGCAGAGCATCAGTCTGCAGCCTCAGCACGACACGCAGTAAGAGACACTGTCATGTACATTATTCATACATACACACACAGAATTCTTTAATCTTATAATAATGTTGTGATCCTTTCAGACCTGTCCCCGACTTAAACATTGTGTGTTTGAAGTCAGAAGAGCCCAAAGAGGAGGACACAGAGGGAGAAGACACAGAGGGAGAAGACACAGAGGCAGAAGACACAGAGGGAGAAGACACAAAGGGAGAAGACACAAAGGGAGAAGACACAGAGGGAGAAGACACAGAGGGAGAAGACACAGAGGGAGAAGACACAGGTGCAGAGACAGACCGCGATGAAGACTGGAGAGCTCCTTTCAGCTGCTCAGGCGATAAAACCAGCGATGACAAAGTCCAAACCAGAGGCCGACGCACAGTTTGTCTTTCCACTAAACACGAGTCCACAGCAGTGACCAGTGAGAAACCCTACAGCTGTTCAGTCTGCAACGCGTCTTTTAAACACAAAAACTCTCTAAAATCTCACAGTCAAGTCCACACAGGAAAACAGTTCTGCTGCTCCATCTGTAAGAAGGAATTCACCCAGCGTCACAAACTCTCACGCCATCAGCTGGTGCACACAGGGGAAAGACCCTTCAGCTGCTCCATCTGCAAGAAAACATTCACAGAAAATGTCATGCTGAATGCCCACATGAAGTTGCATACAGTGAAACCAGAGGAACGACCTTTCGGTTGTTCAACCTGTGAAAAGAGGTTCTCCAGCAAAACCAAGTTAAATATTCACATGAGAACACACACAGGGGAAAGACCTTACAGCTGCACAGTATGCGGAAAAACATTTAGACAAAGGTGTTCGCTGAAGTCTCACGTTCAGGTCCACACAGGAAAGCAGTTCTGCTGCTCCATCTGTAAGAAGGAATTCACCCAGCGTCACAAACTCTCACGCCATCAGCTGGTGCACACAGGGGAAAGACCCTTCAGCTGTTCCATCTGCAAGAAAACATTCACAGAAAATTTCATGCTGAAAGCCCACATGAAGTTGCATACAGTGAAACCAGAGGAACGACCTTTCAGTTGTTCAACCTGTGAAAAGAGGTTCTCCAGCAAAACCAAGTTAAATATTCACATGAGAACACACACAGGGGAAAGACCTTACAGCTGCACAGTATGCGGAAAAACATTTAGACAAAAGTGTTCGCTGAAGTCTCACGTTCAGGTCCACACAGGAAAGCAGTTCAGCTGCCCCATGTGCATGAAAGAATTCACCCAGCAGAACTACCTGAGGCGGCATCTGCGAGTGCACACAGGCGAGAGACCTTTCAGCTGTTCCATCTGCAATAAAACCTATAGGGAAAACTTTATACTGAAAGCCCACATGAAAGTGCACACAGAGAAACCAGAGGAACGACCTTTCGGCTGCTCGACCTGTGAAAAGCGCTTCTCTAACATGACGGCCTTGAAAATCCACATCAGGACGCACACGGGAGAGAGACCTTTCAGCTGCACAGTATGTGGCAAAACATTTAACAATGCGAGCAACATCAGTGACCACATGAAGATCCACGCTGGGGAGAGACAGTTCCTCTGCTCGCTCTGTCCCAAAGCGTTCATCCGTCAGACTGCGCTGAAGAGACACGAGATGACGCACACTGGAGAGAGACCTTTCAGCTGCTCCATCTGTGCAAAAAGATTTGCCCAAAAGTCTGTATTAAAGAGTCACATGGCAGTGCACGGCAGGGAGCAGACCTCTGCAGCTGCACAGTCTCCGCTCGGCTGCGATGAAGCAACAGCGCCCCCTGTGTCGCAATGATCAGTCTGAGTCCGGATCCAGACCGCTCCAAACTACAGCTTTATCTGAAACACAGCTTTATCTGAAACACAGCTTTATCTGAAACACAGCTTTATCTGAAACACAGCTTTATCTGAAACACAGCTTTATCTGAAACACAGCTTTATCTGAAACACAGCTTTATCTGAAACACAGCTGTATCTGAAACACAGCTGTATCTGAAACACAGCTTTATCTGAAACACAGCTTTATCTGAAACACAGCTGTATCTGAAACACAGCTTTATCTGAAACACAGCTGTATCTGAAACACAGCTTTATCTGAAACACAGCTTTATCTGAAACACAGCTTTATCTGAAACACAGCTGTATCTGAAACACAGCTTTATCTGAAACACAGCTTTATCTGAAACACAGCTGTATCTGAAACACAGCTTTATCTGAAACACAGCTTTATCTGAAACACAGCTGTATCTGAAACACAGCTGTATCTGAAACACAGCTTTATCTGAAACACAGCTTTATCTGAAACACAGCTTTATCTGAAACACAGCTTTATCTGAAACACAGCTGTATCTGAAACACAGCTGTATCTGAAACACAGCTTTATCTGAAACACAGCTTTATCTGAAACACAGCTGTATCTGAAACACAGCTGTATCTGAAACACAGCTGTATCTGAAACACAGCTGTATCTGAAACACAGCTGTATCTGAAACACAGCTGTACTATCTGAAACACAGCTGTATCTGAAACACAGCTTTATCTGAAACACAGCTGTATCTGAAACACAGCTGTATCTGAAACACAGCTTTATCTGAAACACAGCTGTATCTGAAACACAGCTGTATCTGAAACACAGCTGTATCTGAAACACAGCTGTATCTGAAACACAGCTGTATCTGAAACACAGCTGTATCTGAAACACAGCTGTATCTGAAACACAGCTGTATCTGAAACACAGCTGTATCTGAAACACAGCTTTATCTGAAACACAGCTGTATCTGAAACACAGCTGTATCTGAAACACAGCTTTATCTGAAACACAGCTTTATCTGAAACACAGCTGTATCTGAAACACAGCTGTATCTGAAACACAGCTGTATCTGAAACACAGCTGTATCTGAAACACAGCTGTATCTGAAACACAGCTGTATCTGAAACACAGCTGTATCTGAAACACAGCTTTATCTGAAACACAGCTGTATCTGAAACACAGCTGTATCTGAAACACAGCTGTATCTGAAACACAGCTGTATCTGAAACACAGCTGTATCTGAAACACAGCTGTATCTGAAACACAGCTGTATCTGAAACACAGCTTTATCTGAAACACAGCTGTATCTGAAACACAGCTGTATCTGAAACACAGCTGTATCTGAAACACAGCTGTATCTGAAACACAGCTGTATCTGAAACACAGCTGTATCTGAAACACAGCTGTATCTGAAACACAGCTGTATCTGAAACACAGCTTTATCTGAAACACAGCTGTATCTGAAACACAGCTGTATCTGAAACACAGCTGTATCTGAAACACAGCTGTATCTGAAACACAGCTGTATCTGAAACACAGCTGTATCTGAAACACAGCTGTATCTGAAACACAGCTGAACTGCAGCAGATCATGTTCACTTGTTTTGTGGTTTTACATCCACGATTAAAGACTTTTTGGTTTAAATGAACCAGAACTGGTCCAGGTTAAAGTGAATGTATTTAATACCGTCTGTCTCCTGCTCTGGACCTCTTTCAACATGTGCTTGAATAAAAAGGAATTAATTCAAATTCAAAAATAGTCATATTGTTGGGCTGGTTCTACAGCCTCAGTCCTGGGTCTACAGTCTCAGTCCTGGGTCTACAGTCTCAGTCCTGGGTCTACAGCCTCAGTCCTGGTTCTACAGTCTCAGTCCTGGGTCTACAGTCTCAGTCCTGGGTCTACAGCCTCAGTCCTGGGTCTACAGTCTCAGTCCTGGGTCTACAGTCTCAGTCCTGGGTCTACAGCCTCAGTCCTGGGTCTACAGCCTCAGTCCTGGGTCTACAGCCTCAGTCCTGGATCTACAGCCTCAGTCCTGGGTCTACAGCCTCAGTCCTGGGTCTACAGTCTCAGTCCTGGGTCTACAGCCTCAGTCCTGGGTCTACAGCCTCAGTCCTGGATCTACAGCCTCAGTCCTGGGTCTACAGCCTCAGTCCTGGGTCTACAGCCTCAGTCCTGGGTCTACAGCCTCAGTCCTGGGTCTACAGCCTCAGTCCTGGTTCTACAGCCTCAGTCCTGGGTCTACAGTCTCAGTCCTGGGTCTACAGTCTCAGTCCTGGGTCTACAGCCTCAGTCCTGGGTCTACAGTCTCAGTCCTGGGTCTACAGTCTCAGTCCTGGGTCTACAGCCTCAGTCCTGGGTCTACAGCCTCAGTCCTGGATCTACAGCCTCAGTCCTGGGTCTACAGCCTCAGTCCTGGGTCTACAGTCTCAGTCCTGGGTCTACAGCCTCAGTCCTGGGTCTACAGCCTCAGTCCTGGGTCTACAGCCTCAGTCCTGGGTCTACAGCCTCAGTCCTGGGTCTACAGCCTCAGTCCTGGATCTACAGCCTCAGTCCTGGGTCTACAGCCTCAGTCCTGGGTCTACAGCCTCAGTCCTGGGTCTACAGCCTCAGTCCTGGGTCTACAGTCTCAGTCCTGGGTCTACAGCAATAACACCTACATATATTCTGCGGGTTTAGCAACTTAACTCAACATCCTGCTGCAAAACAGCTTTAAAAGTCATTTCATAATGAAACTGTGTTGCTATGGAGACGGCTCATGTGTCTTCCGCACACTTGTCCCGCCCACTCCCACGTGTGAGCCAATAGCATCGCGGCTCTGCTTCCTGTTTGGGTTTCAGCCACAGACTGAAAATATTGTTGCAGCGTTGTGGTTGTGGTTGTGGTTAGCTCGGGGCTAAAGCGAACAGGATTTGTGCCAAAATGTCTGAAGGAGAACCGCAACAGGACTTGGATGAGGAAGAGGACACACGAGCAGAGTAAGAAACATGCTTTCACGCTGAGATTCCACTGTTTGGCGCTGTCCATGCTTCTCTGCGCAAAAAGTGAAATTTTGAAAACAACACAGAACAAAATAACACCGAGCGGCTACACTGAGATTCTGTGTGTCCTAAAAAAACACACACAATAAAGTAAATCGTCTCAGGAGCAGCTGAGACCAGAGAGTGACAAAGTGTAAACGCAACACTTGTTTCTGCTCCCATTTTCCATGAGATGGACTTAAAGATCTGAAATACATTCCAGATTCACAATATTACCATTTATCTCAAACATTGTTCACAAATCTGTCTAAATGTGTGATAGTGAGCACTTCTGCTTTGCTGAGATAATCCATCCCACCTCACAGGCCACATCAAGACTCTGTTCTGATCGTGACGAGTGCTCAGCCTCAGACTGGCCACAATAAAAGGCCACTCTGAAATGTACATTATTTTGCTTTATTGGGGGTCTGGGGACTCAGAACCAGTCAGTATCTGGGTCTGGGGACTCAGAACCAGTCAGTATCTGGGTCTGCGGACTCAGAACCAGTCAGTGTCTGGGTATGGGGACTCAGAACCAGTCAGTGTCTGGGTCTGCGGACTCAGAACCAGTCAGTGTCTGGGTATGGGGACTCAGTTCCAGTCAGTGTCTGGGTCTGGGGACTCAGAACCAGTCAGTGTCTGGGTCTGCGGACTCAGAACCAGTCAGTATCTGACTGGTTCAGTTCACCAGCGTGCAGTGAACTGGTACTGTTGTATACGCCAGTCAAGCACATCCCACCCTGGACCCGCTGCAGTTCGCCTACAGACCCAACATGGGAGTAGAGGACGCCGTCCTCTACTTCCTGCAGCGGACGCTCTCCCACCTGGAGCCCGCCGGGAGCGCTGTGAGGGTCATGTTTTTCGACTTCTCCAGCGCTTTCAATACCATCAGGCCGGCACTGCTGCGGGGGAAGATGGAGGACGCGGGAGTGGACAGTAGCCTCACTGCATGGACCATCAACTACCTCACTGCATGGACCATCAACTACCTCACTGCATGGACCATCAACTACCTCACTGCATGAACCATCAACTACCTCACTGCATGGACCATCAACTACCTCTCAGACCGACCACAGTACGTGCGGCTGCGCAGCTGTGAGTCTGAGGTGGTCGTCTGCAGCACTGGGGCCCCTCAGGGCACTGTCCTCTCACCGTTTCTCTTCACCATCTACACCTCAGACTTCACACACGACACACACAGCTGTCACCTGCAGAAGTTCTCCGATGACTCCGCCATCGTGGGCTGTGTGTCTGAGGGGAACGAACTGGAATATCGGTCGGTTATCAAGGACTTTGTCGACTGGTGTGAGCGCAACCACTTGTGCTTGAACACCAGTAAGACCAAGGAGATGGTCATCGACTTCAGGAGAAAACCACTTTCCCACACGCTGCTGAACATCCAGGGGGAAGACATTGAGCTGGTGGACAGCTTCAAGTACCTGGGTGTTCACATTAACAATAAACTGGACTGGTCCATAATACAAACGCCCTGCACAAGAAGGGCCAAAGTCGCCTCTTCCTTCTGAGGAGGCTGAGGTCCTTCTGAGGAGGCTGAGGTCCTTCTGAGGAGACTGAGGTCCTTCTGAGGAGGCTGAGGTCCTTCTGAGGAGACTGAGGTCCTTCTGAGGAGGCTGAGGTCCTTCTGAGGAGGCTGAGGTCCTTCTGAGGAGGCTGAGGTCCTTCGGAGTGAGCAGGCCTCTGCTCAGGACTTTTTATGACTCTGTGGTAGCTTCTGCCATTTACTACGCTGCCGTGTGCTGGGCCCCGGGCAGCACAGAGCGGGACAGAAACAGACTGAACAAGCTGGTCAGGAGGAGGTGAGGGACAGGAGGCCCCTGGACTCTGTGGAGGAGGTGAGGGACAGGAGGCCCCTGGACTCTGTGGAGGAGGTGAGGGACAGGAGGCCCCTGGACTCTGTGCAGGAGGTGAGGGACAGGAGGCCCCTGGACTCTGTGGAGGAGGTGAGGGACAGGAGGCCCCTGGACTCTGTGCAGGAGGTGAGGGACAGGAGGCCCCTGGACTCTGTGGAGGAGGTGAGGGACAGGAGGCCCCTGGACTCTGTGGAGGAGGTGAGGGACAGGAGGCCCCTGGACTCTGTGGAGGAGGTGAGGGACAGGAGGGTGCTAGTCAAAGCCACCTCCATCATGAACGACACCTCCCACTGCACAGGACTGAGGAGGAGCTGAGGAGCTCCTTCAGTGGAAGACTGAGACACCCTCAGTGTAGGAAGGAGCAGGGCCTTTATCCCCACCACTGTCAGACTGTACAATAAGTCACTTTAAATGATCACTGTGTGAAAACCTGCACTACTATTGACACTGTTTCCAATTGACACTTGTCACTTTTGTTGTACATAATTATTGTCACTTTATTGTACATATATGTCCTGCATGTAACATGTTTGCACATTTCCTCCCTTTGCACAATCTGAGTGTCTCTATCCATGCCAAATGTGACATGTACATTTCTCCTCTGTGAGATAAATAAAGCACATCTTATCTTATCTTATCAAACATGCTTTATGGTGACATGACGGTGAGTCTGTGGCCGTGCAAGAACTGGGACATTTTCAGCTTGTGCACAGATCCTTGCATCATGGGGTCGTGCATTATCTGCTGAAACATGTTCATGGATGTACATACCATAACCACACCAGCACCATGGGCCATACCATAACCACACCAGCACCATGGACCATACCATAACCACACCAGCACCATGGACCATACCATAACCACACCAGCACCATGGACCATACCATAACCACACCAGCACCATGGGCCATACCATAACCACACCAGCACCATGGACCATACCATAACCACACCAGCACCATGGGCCATACCATAACCACACCAGCACCATGGACCATACCATAACCACACCAGCACCATGGACCATACCATAACCACACCAGCACCATGGGCCATACCATAACCACACCAGCACCATGGGCCATACCATCACCACACCAGCACCATGGGCCATACCATAACCACACCAGCACCATGGACCATACCATAACCACACCAGCACCATGGGCCATACCATAACCACACCAGCACCATGGACCATACCATAACCACACCAGCACCATGGACCATACCATAACCACACCAGCACCATGGGCCATACCATAACCACACCAGCACCATGGGCCATACCATAACCACACCAGCACCATGGGCCATACCATAACCACACCAGCACCATGGGCCATACCATAACCACACCAGCACCATGGGCCATACCATAACCACACCAGCACCATGGGCCATACCATAACCACACCAGCACCATGGACCATACCATAACCACACCAGCACCATGGGCCATACCATAACCACACCAGCACCATGGGCCATACCATAACCACACCAGCACCATGGGCCATACCATAACCACACCAGCACCATGGGCCATACCATAACCACACCAGCACCATGGGCCATACCATAACCACACCAGCACCATGGGCCATACCATAACCACACCAGCACCATGGACCATACCATAACCACACCAGCACCATGGGCCATACCATAACCACACCAGCACCATGGGCCATACCATAACCACACCAGCACCATGGGCCATACCATAACCACACCAGCACCATGGACCATACCATAACCACACCAGCACCATGGACCATACCATAACCACACCAGCACCATGGGCCATACCATAACCACACCAGCACCATGGACCATACCATAACCACACCAGCACCATGGACCATACCATAACCACACCAGCACCATGGGCCATACCATAACCACACCAGCACCATGGGCCATACCATAACCACACCAGCACCATGGGCCATACCATAACCACACCAGCACCATGGACCATACCATAACCACACCAGCACCATGGGCCATACCATAACCACACCAGCACCATGGACCATACCATAACCACACCAGCACCATGGGCCATACCATCTGCCCTCAGTGCTTGTGGCATTTTGCTGTGAGACAGAACTGTACATTTCAGAGTGGCCTTTTATTGTGGCCAGTCTGAGGCTGAGCACTCGTCACGATCAGATCAGAGTCTTGATGTGGCCTGTGAGGTGGGATGGATTATCTCAGCAAAGCAGAAGTGCTCACTATCACACATTTAGACAGATTTGTGAACAACGTTTGAGAGAAATGGTAATATTGTGAATCTGGAAAGAATTTTAAATCTTTAAGTCCATCTCATGGAAAATGGGAGAAAAAACAAGTGTTGCGTTTATATTTTTGTTGAGTGTAGATCAAACCTGTTGACTGAAGGAGCGCTGCTGCAGCTGTCAAAAGCTCTGCATGCATTTAGGTTACAGCTGCAGAGGACGGGCAGGAGCAGAACTGAGAGCTACGGGAAGACCAGGGAGAGAGACCAGGGACAGAGAGACCAGGGAGACCAGGGACAGAGAGACCAGGGACAGAGAGACCAGGGACAGAGAGACCAGGGACAGAGAGACCAGGGACAGAGAGACCAGGGACAGAGAGACCAGGGACAGAGAGACCAGGGAGAGAGAGAGAGACCAGAGAGAGAGAGACCAGAGAGAGAGAGACCAGGGACAGAGAGACCAGGGACAGAGAGACCAGGGACAGAGAGACCAGGGACAGAGAGACCAGGGAGAGAGAGAGAGACCAGAGAGAGAGAGACCAGGGACAGAGAGACCAGGGAGAGAAAGAGAGAGACCAGGGACAGAGAGACCAGAGAGAGAGAGACCAGGGACAGAGAGACCAGGGAGCGAGAGACCAGGGAGACCAGGGAGAGAGAGACCAGGGAGAGAGAGACCGGGGAGAGATAGACCAGAGGGAGAGAGACCAGGGAGAGAGAGAGAGACCAGAGAGAGAGAGACCAGAGAGAGAGAGACCAGGGAGACCAGGGAGAGAGAGACCAGGGAGACCAGGGAGAGAGAGACCAGGGAGAGAGAGACCAGAGGGAGAGAGACCAGGGAGAGAGAGAGAGACCAGAGAGAGAGAGACCAGAGAGAGAGAGACCAGGGAGAGAGAGACCAGGGAGAGAGAGACCAGGGACAGAGAGACCAGGGACAGAGAGACCAGGGACAGAGAGACCAGGGACAGAGAGACCAGGGACAGAGAGACCAGGGACAGAGAGACCAGGGACAGAGAGACCAGGGAGAGAGAGACCAGGGAGAGAGAGACCAGAGAAAGAAGAACCAGTGTAGTCCTAAATGTAGTCTCTAATTATGATTAATATCTATGTCACAAATTTAAACATTTGTTTTTTTTATTTGAGCAGTTTCAAAGTTAATCAAGTCCTTCAGTTTATGTTTCTTTTGGAAACAATTGTGCACAAATTGATCTACTGTCGGCTACATCTCTTTCAGGCGTATCTCAGGTTTGTATGCGAAGGCAGAAGAGTCTCAATCTGAGACCGAGGGAGAATCCGACTGTTCTGACTACGATGAAGCAGAGACCAGAGCCACTGCCAACAAACCAGGCAAACCTTTCAGCTGCCCAGCCTGCAGCAAGACCTTCTCCTTTAAGTCTCGGTTGGACGTGCACGCTAGAACCCACACCGGAGAGAGACCTTACAGCTGTGCCACATGCGACCGAACATTTGCCACGGCGCGCACTCTGCTTGTTCACACAAGGACTCACACTGGTGAAAAACCTTACAGCTGCTCGGCCTGCGACAGAGCGTTTTCCCACAAGGTCAGCCTCCGTCACCACCTGGTCACGCACTCTGGCGGTTCTCCCTTCAGCTGTTCAGTCTGTAAGAGAGAGTTTAGTCGACACTCAGCCCTGAAGCGACACTTCAAGCTACACACTGGGGAAAGACCTTTCAGCTGTTCTTCCTGCAGCAAGACGTTTTCCCAGAAGTCAAATCTGCACAAACATACCTTGACGCACACAGGAGAGAGACCTTTCAGCTGTTCAGTCTGCGCTAAAAGGTTTTCCCAGAAGATTAATCAGGACAGGCACGAGCGACTCCACGCATTCTTTGAAGACGCGGCGAGAGACCCTTCAGCTGCTCAGAGCGTGGTTGAGGCAAACACACAGCGGGCGCTCAAGGAGCGGTGAGTATGGTTTAGATTTGAGATTAGGTCGTTAGATTAGTGCAGAAGATCAGCATCTATTCTAAAACTTAGAAACATGCGACATCACAAGTCGGGTCTTCTGTCCGCAACTTATGATTCACAAAGATGATGTAAAAAGATCTGTTTGCGTGTTCTCCAGGTGTGTCCCAGAGTCTGGAGAAGAAGACACAGAGATCAGTCCCCTCACGAGTACTGGGCCCAGTCTGGACCGTGGTCTGGACCAGGATCCAGAGATGATAGAGATGAAAGAGGAGTCAGAGGAGCAGAGTGTCAGCCTCGAGTCACAACACCACGCACAGTAAGGCCTGGACTCCACCGGGCGCGTCTCCGTTGACGCACGTTGGCTGCTGTCCGTCGGACGTCCGTGAAAAAGTGTGTGTGTGTGTGTGTGTGCGTGTGCGTGTGCGTGTGCGTGCCTGCGACCGTATGTGCCTGTGACCGCAGCGTTTATTATGATCCAGCCTCTTTGTTTGTTTTCTATACTTATTTAGCGCGTCATACACTTTTATCGGACCCAGCTCGCCTCTCCGCGGCTTTAGGCAACAGGCAGCCGCTGTAGTTTTAAATAGAAGAAGCGGTGTGTGATGTGCATGAGCTGTGGCTATGATCAGTGCAAAGCACGGCACTATGGAAGCATTGAGGACGTCGCGATGGATGAAGCAAAACTTATTGAAAGCAATTGGAAAAAGGGGAGAGAGAAAAGAACTCTAACATATCCTGTGTTGTGAGATCTGTCTCTCATAAGTGCAGCTCTGTGTGTAATGTGTGTGTGTAATGTGTGTGTGCGGTGAGGAGAGAGCTCCTCGCAGGTAGACGGGACAGAGCGAGAGAAAAAAGAGCGAGGTGTATGTAAAGTTTAGCGTATTAACATTACGTGAAAAACAAATGGTAGATGTACGATCAGGAAACAATTATTTAAAGTAATACATTAAAACAATTACACACGTTTGTTAATAATCATTGTCTTTAACAAATATTTCTAATCAAGGACTACAGCATATATCAATACATGTTTAATAATGTTGTAAATATATTATTCCATTGTATTTTCAATGGAAAACGGACCCGACACGCGTCGACGGACGGAACAAATAGGATTGTTTCTATTTCGTCCGTTCTATTGCACCCTCCGTTAACGGAATACGTCCGACATGCGGAGGCAGTGGAGCCACTACCATTCACTCTCATGGAGATAACGGAGACAGAGATGAAACGGACATGTTTGGACGGATCCGTCGTCCGTTTTACGCGCCCAGTGGAGTCGGGGCCTAAGAGACACTATTTAACACTGGAACTCTGCTTTAGTTCGGCCCTGGTTTAATCCTGGATCAGTCCTGGTTCGGTCCTGGTTTAGAGCATCTCACATTAGACCAATAAGATAAAATTGTGTAGTTGTGTAATATTCTGCAAAAACTGATATTAGTGGGTTTCTAGAGGGAATATTCTGACTGTGCTGGACCAGCCCCAAACCGGATCCTGGACCTTGGTCTGAAAGTGAGAACATATTTTTACACGTTATTGTTTTAATTTTCCAGTTCTGTCCCTGATTGGGCCCCTGTGTGTGTGAAGAGAGAGGAGTTCAAGCCAAAGGAAGAAAACTCTAGCGGAGAGACTGACCACTCTTCTGACCACAATGAGGACTTCGCAGAGACCAGGACCACGGGTGAGTCTGGAGACCGGTCCCACAGATCCTCCAGCAAAGCCAAAAGGACCAAGCACCAGTGTCCGTTCTGCCAGAAGATGGTCAGAGGCAGCAAACCGCATCTAGAAAGGCACATGCGGATCCACACAGGGGAGAGACCTTACAGCTGTTCAGTGTGTAACAAAACATTCAGCCAACAGAGTAACCTGCGCGTACACAAAAGAATACACACAGGGGAGAAACCCTTCGGCTGCTCAGTCTGTAAGAAGGGGTTTAGCTTTCAATCAGGTCTGAACTGTCACATGAGGGTGCACACGGGGGAGAAGCCTTACAGCTGCTCAGTCTGCAATAAAAGGTTTTCACAGAAGTGTCATCTTCACAATCATGGAAGAATACACTTCAGTCTGGTCCCTGTGGACACTTGAACTCGCAGAACCCTTTCGGCTGATTAAGAGGAGGAGTGCAGTCGTGTTTAGAATGTTTATTTATTTTGTGAAAAGTGGATTATTTTTGTTTCAATGAAAACTTTGAACAATGTTACCTACCAAAACTGTCTATTTTCCTTTAGAAGTTTTTCATCTTGTTAAAATCCTTTGTGTGTGTGATATGCTGCGTTCATGCGATCTCTGAAACCCGGAGATATCAGAATCAGAATCAGAATCATTTTTATTGCCAACGTAAGTAACAGGAGGTCACAGACTTGGAAATTGCTTTGGCTCAGTGCAACAGTCAAAAAGAGATAATAAAAATAAGAATAAAAAACACTTCTAAGAATAAATTTAAATTTAAAATAGAGTTACAGTTACTATTTACAATATACAAGTGCACATGGTGCACACAATGTAAGGTGACAGCAGTACAGTGAAGTAAAGTGACGTATGATGGGCAGTAAAGTGACTTTATAAAGGGCGGGGGGACAGGTTAAGAAGTGTTCAAGAGTCCAACAGCAGAGGGGAAGAAACTGTTCTTGTGGCGGGAGGTTCTAGTCCTGATGGACCGCAGCCTCCTGCCTGAGGGGAGTGGTTGGAATAGTCCATGTGCAGGTGAGAGGGGAGTGGTTGGAACAGTCCATGTGCAGGTGAGAGGGGAGTGGTTGGAATAGTCCATGTGCAGGTGAGAGGGGAGTGGTTGGAACAGTCCATGTGCAGGTGAGAGGGGAGTGGTTGGAATAGTCCATGTGCAGGGTGAGAGGGGTCGGCTGTGATACGACCAGCCCGGCCTCGAGCTCGGGCGACGTACAGGTCCTGCAGCGATGGAAGGCTGCGGCCGATCACTTCCTCTGCAGAGCGCACAATGCACTGTAGTCTCTGTTTGTCCCTGACTGTGGCTCCAGCGAACCACACGGAGATGGAGGAGGTGATGGAGGAGGTGATGGAGGAGGTGATGGAGGAGGTGATGGAGGAGGTGATGGAGGAGGTGACGGAGGAGGTGACGGAGGAGGTGAGGATGGACTCGATGATGGCCGTGTAGAACTGCACCAACATCTGTGCAGGCAGCTTGGCTTTCCTGAGCTGCCGCAGGAAGTACATCCTCTGCTGGGCCTTCTTGATGAGGGAGCTGATGGTCGGCTCCCACTTGAGGTCCTGGTGATGGTGGTGCCCAGGAAACGGAAGGACTCCACAGAGGTGATGGGGGAGTCCATCACGGAGGGTGGGGGCGGGGGGACAGTGCTCTTCCTGAAGTCCACAATCATCTCCACTGTCTTCTGGGCGTTCAGCTCCAGGTTGTTACCACTGCACCAGGACACCAGCCGGTCCACCTCCCTCCTGTAGGCGGACTCATCGTTGTTGGAGATGAGTCCAATGAGGGTGGTGCCGTCACAGATATCCAAGTGATCGTACGACATTACACACTAATATATTATATATTATATAATTATATATATATATATATATAAAATTGTCCACTCACCTTTGGCCCTCCGCGGGCGGTTATCCCTCTCTAAGCTCGGGTCCTCTACCAGAGGCCTGGGAGCTTGAGGGTTCTGCGCAGTATCTTTGCTGTTCCTGCACTGCACATTTCTGGACCGAGATGTCCGAGGTTGTTCCGGGGATCCGCTGTAACCTCTTCTAGCTTCGGGGTCACTGCCCCGAGTGCACCGATCACCACGGGCACTACTGTCACCTTTACCCTCCAGGCCCTCTCACTACTGTGACCTTTACCCTCCAGGCCCTCTCCAGCTCCTCTCTGAGACCTTGGTATTTCTCAAGCTTTTCATGTTCCTTTTTCCAGATGTTACCATCGCTTGGAATTTATATATATATATATATAATATTATATTATATATATATAATGTATGCATGCACACAGTTGAGTTTCTTGGATTGCATGAAAGCAGCTAGAGCCCTGTGAGTCACTATTTGACTCTTTGGCCAGAGAACTCTCACTTTTTGTTCTGAGAAAGCTGTTCGAAAGATGTGACCAGAAACAGAGGATGTGAAAACTAGTGCAACAGTAGAAGCAACTGTTTTAGATCCAGGAACTAGTGACACAGGTTTGAATACATGGTTCTGTTAGTGGTTTGAAAGTTACGTACCCCAGCTTTAAAGTAAGTAAGTAATCTTTATTTATATACCGCCTTTCACAGACCAGAGTCACAAAGCGGTTTACAATTGTTATTTTTTGGGCAATTGTCTCTCACTCCACACAGAGATGGGAGCGGGACACACTTAATGCATAGTAACATCCCTCCCTGGGTCCAATGAGAGGGTGAACTCACAAATGAACATTTTGAATAGTTTTATTAGTTTCTTTGGTGAGAGACGGCACTTTATGTTCAGTCATCTTCAATAAACGGAGATTAAAGCATCAATAATGCTGTACTTGTGTTCAATTGTGGGTGAACCAATGTCCATAAATGATCCAGGACTGAGGCTGTGGACTGAGGCTGTGTACCCAGGACTGAGGCTGTCATTGTTATTGTGAAGAATTATTTTGTGAAATGTTTCTTTTTACTCATTTGAACCATTAAAAACATAGACTAGAGAGGGAACAGAGGGTCACCAAAGCGCTTCACAGCTAACAATGCTAACACACTAGCTCAATGAGATGCAACAGGGAAGTGTGTCTCATTGAGCGGATGAAGTTTGGCTCCTCTCTCTGGCTCCTTTTGACTTACATGGCAAGGTAAGGCAAGTTTATTTGTATAGCACAGTTCATACACAAGGCAACTCAAAGTGCTGAACAAAACAACATGGGAACAGTCACACTGTGATAATTTATAATTAATACAACATTAAAAAGAGTGATATAAAATCCCTCAGTTGTATGCACAGTTAAACAGAACTGTTTTAATCATTGTCAGAGAGGAGGCCTGTCTCACATTTTCAGGAAGACTGTGCCAGATTTTAGCAGCATGAATCTCAAATGCAGCTTCTCCATGTTTAGTTCTACTCTTGGCACCAGCAGGAGTCCGGGTCAGTTCTTACAGGACCAACATGTCTCTATCTGTCACAATATATTTATGTGCGAGGCCATGGAGAGACTTGTAACAAAAAGTCTATTCTCTGAGCCACAGGAAGCAGAGACCTGAGGACCGGACTAATATGGTCGTACTTCCTGGTTCTTGTCAGGACTCGAGCTGCAGCCTTTTGAACGTACTGCAGCTGTTTTACAGCCTGTTTGGATAGACCTGTGAGCAGGCCATTGCAGGTCCTTCCTCAAGTGGAGGAGTTCAAGTATCTCTGGGTCTTGTTCACGAATGGAGAAACGGATGAAGCGTGAGATTGACAGATGGATCGGTGCAGCGTGCGCAGTGATGCGGTCGCTGTATCGGACCGTCGTGGTAAAGAGGGAGCAGCGTCTGCAGTCAGAGCTGTATCGGACCGTTGTGGTAAAGAGGGAGCTGAGCCAAAAGGCAGAGCTCTCGATTTACCGGTCAATCTTCGTTCCCTCCCTCACCTATGGTCATGAGCTTTGGGTAATGACCGAAAGAACGAGATCGCGGATACAAGCGGTCGAAATGAGCTTCCTCCGCAGAGTGGCTGCTCCCTTAGAGAGAGGGTGAGGAGCTCGGTCACACGGGAGGAGCTCGGAGTAGAGCCGCTGCTCCTTCACATCGACAGGAACCAGTTGAGGTGGCTCGGGCATCTGTTCCGGATGCCTCTTGGACGCCTCCCTGGGGTCCCCCCGGATGAGCTGGAGGAGGTGTGTGTGGATAGGGAAGTCTGGGTGTCTCTGCTTAGACTGCTGCCCCCGCGACCCGGCAACGGATGAAGCGGAAGAGAAGATGGATGGATGGTAGAATTGTTTTACTTTTTTTGGTGATTGCAAAAGAATGATACGATCAAGTCTCCGCCTCCACTTCCTGGTCCCTGACGCGAGCCACAATAGCTGCATCATCATCATGTGTAGATTCTCTAAAGGAGCGGGGCGAACACAGACCCTTGTGGAGCGTCGCTGATGATGTCACCGAGCGTCGCTGATGATGTCACCGAGCGTCGCTGATGATGTCACCGAGCGTTGCTGATGATGTCACCGAGCGTCGCTGATGATGTCACTGAGCAGTAACAGGAAGATCCAGTCCTGGAGCCAGTTTTGGTTTGGATCAGTTTTTGGATCTTTGGACTTTTAACATTCTTAAAACTCATAACTGTACACACAGACAAGCAAACACACACACACACAAACACACCACACAGTGGTTTTGTCAATATTTTGGAGATTGTGAAGTCAATTATTGTCAAATAATAATAATAGTTTTCTATTTTCAAATTATAACTCAATTGGTTATTGAGTAACAACAGTAAATCTTCACTTTCTCATGTTGCAGAGGTGGCGTTGTATGTGTTTGTCCCGGTGGCTCTTCTGTGAAAACGTCTTGTCACATATGGAACAGCTGAAAGGTCTCTCGCCGGTGTGCACCCTCATGTGTCGCTTCATGGCGCCCGCCTGCGTGAACTCCTTCTTGCAGATGCCGCAGCTCGTGGCCTTCTCGCCCGTGTGCGTCCTCTGATGTGCTTTCAGGTTGCTCAAGGCGGAGAAGGTCTTGTCGCAGTCGGAGCAGCTGTAGGGTTTCTCCCCGGTGTGAATGCGCACATGCACGCGCAGGTTAGTGCGTGTGGAGCAGGTCTTGTTGCAGGTCGGGCAGCTGAAGGTTTCTGACTTGTGCTGCCGCATGTGCCGCTTCAGCGTCGCCAGTTGCATGAACTCTTTGGTGCAGATGTAACAGCTGAAGGGTTTTTCGTCGGTGTGGATCCGCCTGTGGTCCTTCAGATGCGCACCTCTGCTGAACGCTTTCCCGCACACTGAACAGCTGTAAGGTTTCTCCCCTGTGTGCGTCCTGGAGTGCTTGGCCAGACTCGACTGGTGCGAAAAGGCTTTGTCACAGTACGAACAGCTGAAGGGTCTCTCCCCGGTGTGGTGCTGTCGCGTGTGGTACTTCAGTCCTTCATTTTGGGCAAATGCTTTGTTACAAACTGAACAGACAAAAGGTTTTTCCCCCGTGTGTGTTCTTTTGTGGGTCACCAGGGCCCCGCGGTTGCTAAAGGCTTTGCTGCAGAATGAGCAGCTGTAAGGTTTCTCTCCGGTGTGGATTCTAATGTGTCGCCGTAGGTTATTCTTACATCCTTTGATCATCTTCGCGCAGAACGGGCACTGGAGCAACTGCTTTTTGTCTCCAGACTTTGTCTCTGCACTGTTTTCGCTGGTCACTGGCGCAGACTTGTGTTTGAGTGACGGCTGATCGTTCAAGACTTTGTCTTCGCCGTCTTCTTGATCCGAGGAAGCTCTCCAGTCAGAAGAGTGGTCGGTGTCACCTTCAGTCTCTGCACTGACGTCCTCTCCCTCTGTGTCCTCTTCTTGCTTTGGCTCAAACTCTTCTTTCTTCACACACACAATGTTCAAGTCTGCGATGCACCTGGAGCAGAGTAAAGAGACAATGTTAGTTTACGGCACACAGGCGTTCTAAGATTGCAATAATGTCAGAATGTGCAAAAATACAACACTTGGCTTTTAGCCCTGAGCCTCATGCTGCCAACACAGTAGTTTCAACACTGTAAACATTTGAAAGATCCGAGCAAATGACTTATTACCCTAATATTATTGCACTATACTTTATTACAGATTAACTACAGATGTAAACCATAGACTGTATATATTAAACATACAATCTACATAACACTTTATACTATATACACGAAATTACTATAAATTCTTTTTCAAGCTACATATAGAGCTTGGATTTTAGTTTTAAAGTACTCACTTGTCTTGTGTTGTGTGCAGATCCCACTGCCCTGTACCTTGTCATGCAACACTGACATGTCCTCGAAGTGGGACAAAAAACGTATCTCTACATCTTAATCTAAATCTTAAAATTGCACAGGATCAGTGTCTCTTACTGTGAGCTGTGCTGAGGCTCCAGGTTGATGCTTTGCTCCTCTGGCTCCTCTTTCATCTCTGGGGTTTCCTGCTTCAGTCCCCGGTCCGTTTCTTCTTCCATTTTCAAAATAATGCGTTCCGATTCTAACGCATTATTGTTAATTTTAGCTTTAGCATCGAGCTAAGCACAAAGACAGCTCACACCAAACAAGAAACGGCACCGCGTTCTGTTTCCGGTCGGACACGCCCACTCAAACACAAACACAATTTTTTTTTTTAAGAATATGTTTTAAATACAACTATATTTCGCGTACAATTCGACAAATAAATGAGAAACACAGGAAAAATGACTAATAATAACTGCAGTATCTAAAAATAAAGAAACTGAAGCTGAGAACATGCCCCGCCCACTCCTGTATGAACCAATAGCATCGCGGCGCTGCTTCCTGTTTGGGTCGCGGTGTTGTGGTTGGGGTTAGCTCGTGGCTAAAGCTAACAAGCATTTGTGCCAAAATGTCTGAGGCAGAAACGCCACTGGACCCCGAGGAGCAGCGAGAGGAGCTGGAAGAGAAGGAGGAGGAAGAGGAGCAGCTCACACCGGTGTAAGAACCAGGAGGATGCACGTCTTTCATTCTTTTCATTCATACACCAGTGTCCCTGTTATGTCTCTTATGTTATGTCACTTCGAAGCTATGTTTTTGCCTTTTTAGCAAAAAAAAAAAAAAAAGTATTATATATTTATTTCCATAGACTATAGTTTCACACATATCAAAAAGCAGATTTTTAAAATTCTGCTGAGACTTTGGACAAAGCTCAAAGTGTCCCTCAAAGACAGTCCCGTGTTAATATAGATCTAACTGGCCCGTTAAACATATATGCCACTGATACTAGAATATATATTATTCCTGGGACCAGAATAAAACCCTGGGTCTTATTAACCAGTACAAGGTCTAATACAAGGCAAAAATATCAACTTTCATTCTTCATACAAAGTTACACAATTCTCCTTTAAACAGAGACAGTTCCATGTGTATGAGTTTTGTGATAAATTGAAATAATACATTATTTGTCACTGTCTTTCAGCCCTGAGCCCGATGAGGAGGACAGAAGGATCAGTCTCTCAATGAGTCCTGAACCCGGTTTGGACCAGGATCTGGACCCGCAGACTTCCCAGATGAAAGAGGAGCCAGAGGAGCAGAGCGTCAGCCTGAAGCCACGACACAACACACGGTAAGGAAGCAGCATGTATTTTACACACACACACACACACACACACACACACACACACACACACACACACACACACACACACACACACACACACACACACACACACACACACACACACGGCTGACTAGCAGTGAGATTAATTGACGATGTATTGTTGTATTGTTCTCAGATATGCTTCAGAGAGGAACATGGTACGAGTGGAGACGCAGAGAAAGGACAGGGAATCTACAGCTGTGTCCAACGAACCCAAACCCAGCGAGGACGGACACCAGTGCCCGTTCTGCGACAAGGTTCTGAAAGGCTGCAAGAACGACTTAAGACGCCACATCGGAATCCACACCGGAGAGCGGCCTTACAGCTGCTCAATCTGCCACAAGACATTCTCCAGCCAGTCTCACTTAAGCTCCCATTTACGAACGCACACTGGGGACCGACCTTTCAGCTGCTCAGTCTGCCACAAGACTTTCTCCCAGATGGGGAACCTGAACGTGCACATGAGGACGCACACGGGCCTAAAGCAGTTCAGCTGTTCTGTCTGCGAGAAGGAGTTCACCCAGCTCACCGTCCTGGAGCGACACATGCGTGTGCACACGGGGGAGAAGCCCTTCAGCTGCTCAGTCTGCCAGAAGGAGTTTGCGGTGGCGTTCGGGCTGAAGCGGCACATGAAGCAGCATGCGGGGGAGAAGCAGTTTGTGTGCGCGGTCTGTCATAAAGAGTTCTCTCAGCTGCTCTCGCTGAACTCCCACATGCGCGTGCACACGGCGGAGAAACCTTTCAGCTGCTCGGGCTGCGACAAGGCCTTCACGCACAAGTCCAACCTGAGCGCGCATGCCAAGTTGCACACCGGGGAGAGACCTTACAGCTGCTCAGCCTGTGACAAAGCCTTCTCCACGGCGAGTAGTCTGAGGAAACACATGAGCGCACACATAGAGACGCCAGGGCTCTGACGCAGCACAGAACTGTTTATTTATTAAAGAAACACAATTAGGCCTGATCGGTGTTTATTGTGTTTGTTTAACGTAATCTTGAGGATGTTCACTTTCGACTTTCATTGGAATGCGTAATCACAATAATAATAATGCATTGGTTTTATACAGAGCTTTTCTGGACTCTCAAAGATGCTTCACATAATTATTCTCTCTCTCCAAACACGGTGGTGATAAACTACTACTGTAGCCACAGCTGCCCTGGGGCACACTGACAGAGGCGAGGCAACCCGTCTGTGCCATCAGCCCCTCCCACCACCACCAACCATTCACACCAGACTCATTCTAATGTGGGGGAAGTGTCTTGCCAAAGGACACAACCACAGTTTGGTACTTTACAGATGCAGCCGCCCCACTGCGGCGCTTAATGTTCTCCGAGGTCTCCCATCACAGTAATAATAATGCCCCTGCTTAGCTTCAGAAGTCTGTCTGGATTCAGGTTTCACAGGATCGTTTCTGGGAAATACATTTGTTTGGTCAAATGTATAAACCAGACTCATTGAATACAGGTCCTTATACTAATAAAGAAAAGGACAAGTGTTTGTTTAACTTTGTGGCCTTCAACAAACTGTGTAAGGCTTTTATTTAATATGTCATCTTTAATCCAGGTCCTACAGCGGCAACACTCCCTCGCTGTGACACGCTTTTGAAGGTTTTGTACATTTTATGGTTATTTTTTACTGTTTGCTTCTCATGCGCCGCGTGTAACGTCTAACCACGAGTACAACACAAGTCTCTTTTGTTTAAGTTGGAGGAAAACTGGAACCGTCAGTCCAGCTTCAATCTGGTCTCTCTCTCTCTCTATGGTCTCTCTCTCTCTCTATGGTCGCTCTCTCTCTCTGGTCTCTCTCTCTCGTCTCTCTCTGGTCTCTCTCTCTCTGGTGATGTTATTTTGGTTTATTCAAACTGACATGTTTGGTTTAGTCACTGGTGGAGTTTTCCTCGACACTGAGACAGAAATAATGTTGTTGCTCAAACCATGTTCCATTTTTAGTTTGTGTCAAACCCGTGAGGTCTGAGCACGTCTGACACTTCAGTTCAAACAAACTTCTGTTACTTCAACATCAGAGAATAACAAACACTGCACTTAAGAACTTTACACACACAGACTGCCATGAGCTAAAGTCAAATTAAAAAGTGAATTATTTCTTCTTTGTTGAAGGATTTAATAAGAAAAAAGGTGTAAAGCGTGTGCTGCTCATAGCCTCTAATGGACAATGCTAACACGCTAGCTCAATGAAGCCCAAAGGGGAAGTGCTCGTGAACAAAGTTTATAGGCAGTAGTAGCACTGCTGCTCTTGATGTTCCTGCTCCTGGGTCAGGAGAACAAAGAAAGGATCTCCAAGCTTCAGAGACCGACTTTGTTTCACTGTTTTCCTCTGGTCTCTTTCTCTAGACTCTCGCTCTTGAATCTAGAGATCAGAGGATCTCTAGATTCCATGGCGCTAATTCAAAACACTTGTCATTCAGCCAACTTTAGCCTTGTCAAATGTGAATCAATACCAAATCCTCTTTGCTCATACATAGCTAATAAAAAAAGCTGCCTTTGTGAACCTGAGCTGGATCACGGCTCTTTTAAAGTGAACATCCTGCTCTACAGACCAGGGGCCATCGAATTCTGAAAAATATGACTTTAAAGTCAATAACTGCAACTTCAATGAAGCAAATTCCTTTATTTTAAAGCTATAGTTTGTGTTCATGTGACATCATACGGTCCAATGTGGTGGAGGGCAACAGAAAGACTTGTGAGAAGGACCGGTTATTGTCCACATAGAACACACGTGTGAAGCCTCAGTCACCGCCTTACATCGCCTGAGTTTTCCAATTTTGACACCAGAGAGAGAGACTGGCACTACGGCAAGTGTCTCATCCACATGGAGCAGTAGCAACAGCCCAAACTGACTCTTCATTCACCCAAACACAGCTCCACGGCTCATTACACTGTCATTATGCAGAGTCTTGCCTCTCATTGGACCTTTGTGTTGTGTTAGAACCTTCTTCCCATGAGCTACATCGAAAACAGTTTGTTTTCATCTTTTCTAAATTACCTCTGTATTTAGTCTTGTGTTCGCTGTGTCACAAAAGTCCCACGTCGCTCGGTTTTACGGCGGTTATTTCAAACCCCGAGATCACGAGCGCGATGCTGTCGTCTAACTGACTGAGCGGGAAAGCACACAGCAACAACAGCTCTCTCTCTTTGGACCGAGTTTCTCCCGCAGACGGCGGAACGGTTCTTTCGGGGCGCGGACACCTGCACGGCTTCTGCGAGTGCGCCCTCCTCACGTGACGTTGCAGATTCAACGACGTGGAAAAACTCATTTTGCAGAAGGAGCAGCTGAAAGGTTTGTGTGTTCTGCTGTGGCTCCAGAGATCGGCTTCGGTGGAAAATGTCTCGTCGCAGTCTGAACAGCTGAAGGGTTTCTTCACAATGTGGATTTTCTCGTGGCGTTTCAGTGCGCCGGCGCGATGGAAGCGTTTGTCGCAGATGGAGCAGCAGAAAGGTTTGTCTTGGAGCTTTTCTGTGATCTTTTCATTGGAGAAGCTGATTGGAGCGCTCTCATAGTCTGTGTCAGACGAGTGCTCTGTCTCCCCCTCGCTGAGGTCCTCTCCCTGGGGCTGAACCTCTTCTGTCCTCACAGTCTCAACCTTCAGGTCGAAGGCAGGTCTGGAAAACAAAAAAAACTTGTTCATTATTAAAGAGGGGAAATCTGAGGCACTTCACTTTTAAAATGTTGAAAAATAAACACATCAAACCAATCCATGATGTATTCATCTATTAGAAAATGTGTTATCTTTGGCGCTCTTTGGGATAAAAGACAATTGGTTGAGTCCGCACCACAATTAAACACACATGTTTCCTGCTTTTGCCTCAAAACCAGAGAGCGAGAGAGAGAGATAATAATGTAAATGCTGCTGGCCTTGTCTCAGTAGGATCCATGCGTCAAAAGTGTTTCTTACAGTGTGTTAACGCTCTGCTCCTCTTCAGTATCTGGGATCTCCTGCTTCAGTCCATGGTCCAGTCCATGGTCCAGTCCATGGTCCAGTCCATGGTCCAGTCCATGGTCCAGACTTGCTGTAGGAAAGATCTCCATTTCTTCTTCGTCTGATTCCAACTTCACACAGACAATGTTGAAATCTGAGAGACACCTGCAGAACGACAGGGGAACACATGTGAACAGAGATAATATAGATTTACAGACTAAACATATTGTTTGAATAATTCTTGTTGTGGTTACTAATATCACTCGTTAACACAGTTTTAACCATAGTCTGTATACATAGATGCTAAACCGCTAGCTTAATAAAGCACAATAGAGAAGTGCTAATGCTGAAGTTTTGCTCCAACTTTCTCTGGCTCCAGACCACAATATACAGTCTCTGGGGGGTCACTATCAACTTAGGGCTCAGAGCTGATTGGCTGAGAGAGTTTGGTCACTTTTCGGGCATTAAGTTTATTAAAAGATATGACAGAAGCAAAGACTAGTGATAGAAGCAAACTGTTGAAGAGCCAGGGACGAGTAACACGGATCTATCGATTCTGTGTATTTTTCTATCGCTCTAAAAAGGAGTATAAAATATATCTTTAGCATAATAAAGGCGTTTAAAATACTATGGAACTCCTCATACGCAACTAACAATAGAATGATCTGATAACACATTTTACGTTGATATATGGGGATCGGGCGTGTATCAGGGTCCGTTATAGACTTAAATTAGTCATAATGAACATTTTAATAGTCTGTAAGTGTCTCACCCAGAGCTGTCCTCGTCCTGCTGCTCCAGCCCCAGACCAGGACCCCGCTGCACAGACATCTCACACGTATTTATTTAATGGTTTATAGTAGTTTATGGTTTATAGTAGTCTATGGTAGCTCCGAGCTAACAGCAAACAACCATGCGGAGACAACCCGGAAGTGGTATTTTTTTCCGGCGAGGTTAGAGGCTAGAGCGCGCGTGGTGCATGAATGTGGCGGCCATCTTGTGTCTACTCTACAACAAACCTGCAAACAACTCACTCAAAATAGGCGGGAAAAGAGACCCATCCTGTGGAAGATGCCGATTTGAATTGGAGCCATTTTGGCGCTGTCAAAACAAAGGGACAGATTTGTTGTTAACATGGTTGCTATGGCTAGCTCGAGTTTCCCCTTGAAAGAAGGAATCTAATTGGTTAATCCTTAAATGGCTGATCACTGGATTTACAAAGACAATATCAAGATAAAAACACAGATTTGTAAACCAAAAATGGTGACGTGTGACAAAAATGGTTTACTGAGCTAGAGGAGTTTCATTTTACATAGAAGTCAGTAAGAGCCAGAGATAGCACTTCTCTATGGGCTTCATGAGATGAGGTTAGCGTTGTCTTTCTGTACACAGTCTATTATATATATAGATACAGAATTTAAAACCATAAATGAATGATCACAAAGCACTTTATTAAAGCCACTATGTAAACTGCACAGAAAACAGGTGTTTGTGACCAGCATGAGAACTGTCTGTAGTAGAACTGTAGCAAAGGGAAACACATGGACCACAGGTACCGTCCTCCAGCTCAGGTCCTGAAAAGCCTCCACATGTGGAGCTGGGTCTGACAGAGGCCCAGAGGAGGACGGGTCAAATGCAGAGACACATTTCCACCGAAACAGTAAAGTACAATGCAGTTTATACAATCTCAGAAACTCGGAAGTCCCGACCTAGAAATGAGGACGGGGCTCAGGATGGGAACTGACTGAGATACGTGTCAGATTGTGTTTGTGTGTCTCTGTGTGTGTTTGTGTGTTGTGGATGTCTCTCGCTCTCTCTCTCTGTGTGTGTGAGATTACTTTAAATATCTCTGAGTTTGAGATCAGCATGATCCTATGAAAGCTAATTTTCCTCCTTACAGAATGGCAAACAGAGCTGTGAACTTTGGTCATGTGCAGATCAATCATTTCACAACAACAAAGTCACTTCCTCTGTGTTCTCTCTGTGATCTTGGTTATGGTCACATGACACACGTCTCCTGAGGACAGACTGTGGAGGTCATCCTGGATTCATAGAACCGTAGATTTAGACGTAACTCCTTTTGTTGACTGATAAATTATGTCTAATGTTTTGGTTCATAGCTTAAAGCAGAGGTTCCCAAACTTTCCTGGAGACACAGGCCTAAACACCTCTCTGACTGTAAACCATGTGACAGACTGGATCTCCTCCCGCTGTTTCTTTAGTGCATCACCGTGTTTCTCATGATCAGTGTGTTTCAAACACCACACATCAAGTAAACACTAGAGCAACATCCCAGTGTTAGTTATTACCACCTTCATCACTGTCCACCATCGGGGCAGGTCACTCAGCGAGGGTGGGGTCAGGGGGGTTTAGGAGGGTCGACAGTTTCCCCTCAGTGCAATGTCCTCTGCAGCTTTATTTTACAGTGTATATGTACGGCTTGGTCTCTCTCTATTCTCTTTCTTTCTCTGGTCTCTCTCCCTCTGGTCTCTCTCCCTCTGGTCTCTCTCCCTCTGGTCTCTCACTCTCTGGTCTCTCTCCCTCTGGTCTCTCTCCCTCTGGTCTCTCACTCTCTGGTCTCTCCCTCTGGTCTCTCTCCCTCTGGTCTCTCACTCTCTGGTCTCTCTCCCTCTGGTCTCTCACTCTCTGGTCTCTCTCCCTCTGGTCTCTCTCCCTCTGGTCTCTCACTCTCTGGTCTCTCTCCCTCTGGTCTCTCACTCTCTGGTCTCTCTCCCTCTGGTCTCTCTCCCTCTGGTCTCTCTCTCCCTCTGGTCTCTCTCCCTCTGGTCTCTCTCCCTCTGGTCTCTCTCCCTCTGGTCTCTCTCTCCCTCTGGTCTCTCTCCCTCTGGTCTCTCTCCCTCTGGTCTCACTGGAGTCATGAGTTCAGGTGGTTAGAAATGTACATAAAGGATGAGGTTTTTTACATCTTTAAAACTTACAGCTGCAACTGAGAGGGTTTCTCTTATTGTGTGTTATTTTCAGAACACATCCCTGTGTAGTATTACGCCATAAACCAGGGACCAGTGAATAGTGTTTCATTTGAAGCCTCAAAACATGCATGAATGTTATTTTCTGTAATTTATTGTGTCTTTTGATCTAATATAACTTAAACATGTTTGTATCAAAAATATTCTGGAATCATTTTGCGGCCTCCAGCTTGTGTCCCGCGACCCGCACTTTGGGAAACGTCACATCAGTACATGGGAGGAGCTCTGGTGTGTGTCATCAGCAGCTCTGAGCTCGAGTGGAGGAACACGACTGCGCTGCCGCCCTGTCCGCCCTGTCCGCCCTGTCCGTGTGCTTCCTGCCGTGTCTGCGCAGGTTGGACAGCGTGGCGAAGGACATGTCGCAGGCGGAGCAGCTGTAAGGTCTCTCCCCGGTGTGGATCCTCTCGTGCTCCTCCAGCTTGGACTTGGAGGGGAAGCTCTTGAAGCAGGTGAGACAGTTGTTGGACATCTTTCCGCCCGCGTGCATCCTCATGTGGCTCTCCAGCTTGAACTCCACCGTGAAGCCGCGGCTGCAGAGGGCGCAGGCAAACGGTTTGTGCACGCGGCCGTGGACCCTCAGCTCGGCGCGCTCCGAGAAGGCCTCGTTGCACTTGAGGCAACGGAAGCGCTTCTCCCGCGTGTGGATGGCGGCGTGCTTCTGCAGGTCGCACTTGGTGGAGAAGGCGCGGCTGCAGGAGGAACAGCTGAAAGGTCGCTCGTCCGTGTGCGTTCGGATCACGTGTTTGCGCAGGGTGGACGACGTGGCGAAGGACTTGTCGCAGGAGGGGCAGAAGAAAGGTTTCTCCCCGGAGTGCATCCTCTCGTGGATGGACGCCTCTTGGCTCGTGCAGAACATCTTGATGCAGAAGGAGCACTTGAACGGCTTCTCCCCGGTGTGCAGCATCATGTGGCGCTTCAGCTGGTAGCCCAAATAGAATCCTTTCTCGCAGATGGAACAGCTGAAGGGTTTCTCCCCCGTGTGGTTCCTTAAATGGACTTTCAGTTTGCTGAGTTGGGGAAACTCTTTGGCACAGAAGGGACAGGTGTTTGGCGATCCGGACCCGTCTCCGGTCTCTAATTCGTCTTCGTCCCGGTCAGACGACTGGTCGGTCTCTGGTCTCAGGTCCTCTCCCTCTGTGTCTTCTCTGGGCTCACACGCTTCGCTCTTCACCGCAACATTCAAAGCTGCAACACAGCTGGAAACCAGACGGAAAAACAACTGTGAGCGTGTGAATTACAAGGAAAACTACTGTACTGTATGTATGAAGTGTGCATGTGCGTGTGTAATAATATGTATTAAATTCCCTTTATCTGTCCTTTTTGTGGATTTATTTATTCTATTCATTTGCCCTTTATTCTCAGAATGGATGGTGGAAGGGATCAGTGGTTGGGGAGGGGGAAAACAACACACAGATTGTACTTGTTGTTGTCAATAACCCTCATTAACTGCATTTGATTGTGTGTTAATAAAAAGATGTTACATACAAAAAAATAAAGAAAAATGGTGTAATGTGGACAAAAGCTGTGAGAAGCTTTGGTAGTGTCTCGTACTGCGTGTTGTGCTGTGGATGCTGGCTGATGCTCTGCTCCTCTGGCTCCTCTTTCATCTGTGGAACCTCTGCGATTCTCTGGTTCAGACCCTGGTTCAGACCCTGGTCCAGACCCTGGTTCAGACCCTGGTTCAGACCCTGGTCCAGACCCTGGTTCAGACCCTGGTCCAGACCCTGGTTCAGACCCTGGTCCAGACTGTGTCCAGGACTCATTGAGGGACTAGTCATTGTATCTTCTGCTGTGGCCTCAGTTGGACATCTGAAAAACAACCGCTGAATGTAGACATGACGATTGCCATTAGCCTGAGTAACACGGGCTGGTGTGTCAGAACGACGTTGCATTTAACCCGCCTTGTGGCCTAGTCTTATAGCCCGCTGCTCATTTCTTTGTCATTGCCACAAAATTACAATGTCCACACAGGTATGAGCGTGACTGCAGTTCACCAGACTTGTCCAGGAGCCGATAACACAGATTTTAAAACTGTTTGGACTGGATTCGGGCTTTTCTGAACTTTAAAATGGTAAGTTTACTTAAATGAACAATTTCACCATTTGTGGTATTATGTTCTGTCAACACAACTAAAGTAAAAAACTGGATTCTAGAAGTTCTGATCTTTCTGATCGAGGTGTGAAAGGCCTATATAGTTGTAGCTGAAGTTGGCAGGATGACACTTTGAAATTATGTTTATGATCTCTGACTAAGTGTGCTAGCGTCAAAGGGCCACATATAATGATACAGAAGGCCGCATTTGGCCCTCGGGCCTTAGATTTAGAGTAACAACACTGCAACAAGTGCATAAACCGCAGGATACAAATAAATAAATAACAGTGTAAACATTTAACCAACGTTGGCATCAGTTCAACAGTAGCTCAGTAACAGAGACGGACGGAATGAACGCAGCCAGGTCTCTCTCTCTGGTCTCTCTCTGGTCTCTCTCTCTGGTCTCTCTCTCTGGTCTCTCTCTCTGGTCTCTCTCTGGTCTTTCTCTCTGGTCTCTCTCTCTGGTCTCTCTCTCTGGTCTCTCTCTCTGGTCTCTCTCTCTGGTCTCTCTCTCTGGTCTCTCTCTCTGGTCTCTCTCTCTGGTCTCTCTCTGGTCTTTCTCTGGTCTCTCTCTCTGCTCTCTCTCTCTGGTCTCTCTCTCTGGTCTCTCTCTCTGGTCTCTCTCTCTGGTCTCTCTCTCTGGTCTCTCTCTCTGGTCTCTCTCTCTGGTCTCTCTCTCTGGTCTTTCTCTCTGGTCTTTCTCTCTGGTCTTTCTCTCTGGTCTCTCTCTCTGGTCTCTCTCTCTGGTCTCTCTCTCTGGTCTCTCTCTCTGGTCTCTCTCTCTGGTCTCTCTCTCTGGTCTCTCTCTCTGGTCTCTCTCTCTGGTCTCTCTCTGGTCTTTCTCTCTGGTCTTTCTCTCTGGTCTCTCTCTCTGGTCTCTCTCTCTGGTCTCTCTCTCTGGTCTCTCTCTCTGGTCTCTCTCTCTGGTCTCTCTCTCTGGTCTCTCTCTCTGGTCTCTCTCTCTGCTCTCTCTGGTCTCTCTCTCTGGTCTCTCTCTGGTCTTTCTCTGGTTTCTCTCTCTGGTCTCTCTCTGGTCTCTCTCTGGTCTCTCTCTCTGCTCTCTCTCTGCTCTCTCTGGTCTCTCTCTCTGGTCTCTCTCTCTGCTCTCTCTGGTCTCTCTCTCTGGTCTCTCTCTCTGCTCTCTCTGGTTTCTCTCTCTGGTCTCTCTCTGGTCTCTCTCTGGTCTCTCTCTCTGCTCTCTCTCTGCTCTCTCTGATCTCTCTCTCTGGTCTCTCTCTCTGGTCTCTCTCTCTGGTCTCTCTCTCTGGTCTCTCTCTCTGGTCTCTCTCTCTGCTCTCTCTGGTCTCTCTCTCTGGTCTCTCTCTCGGCTCTTTCTATGGTATCTCTCTGCGGATAGAAAGAGGTTACTCTTTCTGTGTGGAGTTTGCATGTTCTCCCCATGTCTGTATAGGATTCCCCTAAAAACATATAGAAATGATAAAAATCCTCCAGGAGTAGTTTATCACCAGGAGTGGATGAATAATGTAAACATCGATGTTTTATGTTTATTGTCATTAAAGTAAATTAAGATTTTTGGAAAAGCGATTAATTTTACGAAAATAATTCAATAAAAATCCTTGATTCGACTCCGAAATAATGTGTATTGTGTCATGTTGAGCCCACACAGACATGAAACCAGGAGGACCTGCAGCCGCGGGTTAAACCCACATAAATGTTCTGATGGATCAGAAGAATAACGTTACCGTGAGCTGTGCGGTGTCCCCGGGATCTGCTGCTCCTCCTCCGGCCTCAGCCTCAGCCCACGGTCCTTCAGTAAATACATTTTATCACGTGTGTTTTATGGGCAGATGTTTTTAGCTTTAGCTCCGCGCTAGCAACAGAACCAGGAAGCGGTTCCGTGTTCTGATTGGTGCAAACGCTGGAAAGACCACATCCGAATCCACACCAGACACTTCACTTCCTCCTTTGTCCTTTTTCCCATGTTTACTTTTCTGGCATAAAACCATCTTAAAATGTGTTCCCCAACACTCACCTGCACAGACAGCTTCCCCGCCGTAATATAAGTACATTTAAATCCAAAGAGAGTTGTTTGCGGTGGATTTTTAAGAAGAATGTGTAAAAACGGTTGAAAATGTTCAGTGTTGCAGTGCACATTACACATCCACGGGAAAACAAGAAGTACTGTTGTCAAACATAATCAATAATCAGATATTAATAAATAATAAAATATGGTGTAAACCTATTCTTTAGTTGTTACAAAACAAAATATGATTCAACCAAGGATTAAAAAGTACTCATTATAGAAACTATTGACACACATATTGTAATTGTGTTAGCTGCAGAAAGGTTGTATATTACAGTTAAAAGTAAGGCTGAATAAAATGTCAAGATTTGTTTGGAGCAGCACTGGTTTATTGCAGTCTTGTTCTGAAACAGAATATGATCCATCTAAATATCTAATATATAATAATATATATATATATATATATATATTCTATAATATATAATTTATCTCTGGTGGAAATCCTCTCCTTGATTATCAGTCAGATGCCTTTCCCTGGAGTGACTCCTCCTCTCGTGTTTGCGCAGGTTGGACATAGTAGTAAACGTCATGCTGCAGGTGGAGCAGCTGTAGGGTTTCTCCCCAGTGTGAGTCCGCTCGTGTTCCTTTAACTTCGACCTGCAGGTGAACGACTTGTGGCAGGCAGAGCAGCTGAAGGGTCTTCCTGCTGTGTGCCTTCTCATATGTCCGTTCAGCTTTGCCTCAGACAAGAAGCCTTCCGTACAGACTGCGCAGCTGAAGGGTTTCTCCTGCGGGTGAGTTTTGCCGTGTACGCTCAGAGCACGCTGGTCGGAAAACGCCTCGTCGCACTTGGTGCAGGGGAAAGTTTTTGCTCGGGTGTGGATTGCAGAATGTATGTTGAGATCGGACTTGGTGGAAAATGTCTTGTTGCATGTGGAACAACTGAAAGGCCTCTCCCCTGTGTGCGTCCTTGTATGTCTGCGCAGGCTGGACATGTTGCAGAATGTCTTTCCGCAGTCTGAGCAGCTGTAAGGTCTGTTTCCAGTGTGGATCCTTTCATGTACAATCAGGTCAGACTTATAGAAAAATGTTTTGCTACAGATTGAACACGTGAAGTGCTTTTCCCCCGTGTGCACCCTCATGTGGCGTTTCAGCGACGCCACAAACGCAAAGGCAAGCTCGCAGACTGAACAGCTGAAGGGCTTCCCCCCCGTGTGGGTGATTCTGTGAGCTCTGAGGTGATTGTTCTCAGAAAAGGCTTTGCCACAAGTGGAGCAGCTGAAGGGTTTCTCTCCGGTGTGAGTTCGGACGTGGCTCTTGAGACAGGACTTGGTGTAGAAGGACTTGTCGCATGTGGGACAGCTGAAGGGTCGGACTCCGCTGTGGACTCTCGTGTGCACCTGGAGACTGCTCTTTTTAGAAAATGTCTTGTTGCAGCTGGAGCAGTGGAATCGTTTCCCTCTGTGAGATTTCATGTGCAAGTTCAGTCTCTTTGCGTGAGGGAAGTGCTCATCACAGAAGTGGCAGCTGTGTTGTCTGTCTCCTGCTCCAGACCCGTCCCCAGACCCGTCTCCAGACCCGTCTCCAGGCCCGTCTCCAGACCCGTCTCCAGACCCGTCTCCAGACCCGTCTCCAGACCCGTCTCCAGGCCCGTCTCCAGACCCGTCTCCAGACCCGTCTCCAGGCCCGTCTCCAGGCCCGTCTCCAGGCCCGTCTCCAGGCCCGTCTCCAGGCCCGTCTCCAGGTCCGTCTCCAGGCCCGTCTCCAGGCCCGTCTCCAGGCCCGTCTCCAGGCCCGTCTCCAGGCCCGTCTCCAGGTCCGTCTCCAGGCCCGTCTCCAGGCCCGTCTCCAGGCCCGTCTCCAGGCCCGTCTCCAGGTCCGTCTCCAGGCCCGTCTCCAGGCCCGTCTCCAGGTCCGTCTCCAGGCCCGTCTCCAGGCCCGTCTCCAGGCCCGTCTCCAGGCCCGTCTCCAGGCCCGTCTCCAGGCCCGTCTCCAGGCCCGT